AATTTGGTGAATGGGGCTACAAAGTAGGCGCAGGCCCATTTTCCATCTGTCTCACTGCACCTGGAAGGTGTTCGTTCAAGTATGTGCTAAAAACATTTAGAAAGCGTCAAGCCTTCACCCCACGCGTAGCCGTTATCCCATTCGACGTTACCACAAGTTATCCCTGCAGGACACCGCGGTATTCGGCACTGGTGGTAATGAGGAGCTGCAGCACAGCCCACAACTCCGAGGGTGAAAAAGCCAGCTGAATCTGCGATAGGTATCTGGTATAAGGAAATGGCGTGCATCATTCGAGGACCAAAGAGATGCTGTTCTGTAAAAACACATTTATCATTTGTCGGGCGTGGTCAGCATTCGCGGCTCTGAGGCCGCATCAGCGCTGGAAGCCTCGAAGAAAGGAGCCACCGACCAGCCTCTCCCCTGGAGGTCAGCGCCGGCGGCCAGCGGCCGACGCCAGACGCTGTTCGCCTCGAACAGCTGACACACAGAACCAGCGGCTCTTCCGCGCACGGAACTGGCCATTTTCCTCGTTATTTTCACCTTGAGGTCGGGTGCATGCACAAAAGGCCGCCGGGTGCAGTGCCAGCGATGCGGTTTTTGCCGCCATTGACCATAATTGTTGTCCGGAGTAACGGAATAAAACGGGATAGCAGGAACACGCTCCACAGCGGGTTCTGCAGACAACGAAGATGAGGAGATTTGCACATAACGGCCCCTGGTACAATCACGTGATTTTTGTTTTAAGTACAGTTCACGTAACAAACTTCATGGAACACGCGACACGTGGATGGCACGGCATTCTCTCCAATCACTGCATGGTAGCGGGCAGAGACAAGAATAAATTACTTTGGAACATGCATAGCTTCCACGACACAAAATTGACGAGTATATACCTAATTGGGTGTGCTTAATGGCTTTACATCACGCTGGCCCAACGCAACCAGAATATTGTATACAGCGTTCTTATTGAATCGTGCATTTTGCAACTTAAGTTAATATTTCATTTCAAAGTGAGCTGTGCGGCTCCTAATGAAATGCAACACGCTGTGAGCGTTAGGAGGTAGATAGCAAATGACAGTGTGATATCCTTCTCGAAACTGTACGGCAACTACTTGATTCTTCTAGGAAATTTGAGCTACAAAGTTACTGTCAGAGCAAGAGATGCAAAACTAGAGTAAAAGATGTCATAAATAACCACCGGGCAAACTGCCAAAACTATATAGCAATGCGCATGACAGTTCTCGAACTGTGCCTACGCATCGAAAAAAAAATATCTAGCCGCATCGTTGGACATGACAATTGCATTTTGCTCCAAGATTGGATGATTTCACAGTTTACATAGATTACGGCGTCATCTGCAAAGTGTCGCCTGTGATTCGTTTCCTGCCGTTGTGAAAGGACGTGTAACCACATTTACAAAAGACAGGGCATGGAGCAATGCTAATCAGCCGGGCCTCTGGTTAACAATGGACCATTTCACGCGGATCAGTGTGGGTGTAAGTCACCCTATCACAAGAACACGAGCACGCGGCCCATTGTCATTTTGAGTGACAAGTTATAGCACGTGTTCATGGGTCACTTGCTTGTAGATCATATTTAGGCTCAAGTGCATGCGTTTGCAACACATACCGCTCGGCGACGCTCGCACGCACAGTCATGGGCGTGGCCAGTTTCATTGGCCACGCCCATGTTGTTCAGTTTCAGCACAACACCATGCTCACAACACCTCAACAGCAGTACCCGATCAAACATTCTCCCGTTGATCTCAGGAGTGTTCTGAATCCCCATCTGTCTTCGCGTCGCACTGACGAGCCAAGTTCGCCGCCAATCCGCCCCGCAGTGGGCAGAGGAGGCCGACGGCTGGATCGGGCTGGGCGTCCGTGCGCCCCAGACACTGGACAGTGCGCCAGGACTCGTCTGCGGTGCGTCAGCGTCCGCCGTACGTTTGACCGCGGTCTGTACTGAATCAAATGAAATCGACTTGTCGTTAACGGTTGACCGGTCGGGACTCGGCCATCTTGAAGTATTGATGGCGTTCCTCAAGGCTTGGTCTCCTGGACAATCTTCGAGCCTTTTGGTCGAAAGCTGACTTTCTTCGCTCTCACGAACACTTCCCACATTCCACAACGCAACAACGCTAAGCGGAGAAAATGCCATCGTTGTTGATAGATGTTTGTGAAGTAAACGTTCCCATGTTCCCTTGCGTGTCATGCTGACTGTGGCCGACCTCAGCCCATCAGCCGATTGTTTTGGTCGTCTCTAAATCCTCAAGATGCCATGATAACACATACAAACTGGTGAAGGTTGTTGGCGTGTCTGCTCTTGTTTTCCAGGCGCGTCAAGCCTGCAACCTTGAACCGATGGCGACCCCTTCACCGGACGATGGCATATCACCAGCTTAGTCACCAAATCACGTGTTGATTTCCATCGCGATGGTCTTTCCTAAGCGTGTTGCAAGACTCGTTCGACCTTTCACTGTTCCTGGGGTGTATCCGTATTACAGAATCACTTTTGGCTAGCGAGATTTCTCATCTTAGGTGTGTATGTGGTCGTAGATACATGCATCAGAGGCATAGATGTGACCATGGGGGCGACACGGGGAACGGATTCCCGCAATTAAATCCAATTTCGCCCCTCCAATTATCCCCGTATAATGCACGTTTTTCTGTTTTACGATTTAAAATACAGTTTTCAGTTCAGGTTGTCTTCTAAGATCTCGATTTCATCCCAAATCCTGATATTCCCTCCGCTAATATCAAAGCCGTTTTTATAACAACACAGCCGAAGTGACAGCTGGCCATGGTGCCTTGCCTTGGCGGCCACCGAGCTGGGACCTGCCCCGGCGAGCTAATGGTCCCCAGCGGCTCGTGCCGGCTCGTCTGGTGAGCTAATGGTCTCCAGCGGCTCGTGCCGGCCCGTCTGGCGAGTTGACGGGCCCCAGTCGGGCCGTGCTGTCCCGTCTAGCGAGCTGACGGGATCCAGTCGGGCCGTGCTGTCCCGTCTGGCGAGCTGATGGGCTCTGGTCAGCCAATTCCGGCCCGTCTGACGGGCTCCGGTTAGCCGTTCCGGCCCGTCTGACGGGCTCCGGTTAGCCGTTCCGGCCCGTCTGACGGGCTCCGGTCCGCCCGTGCTGTCCCGTCTGACGGGCTCCGGTCAGCCCCATGCCGGTCCGTCTGGTGAGCTGACCTGCCGCAGCTGGTCCTGCCCGCACCGGACGCGGAGAAAGCGCCCGGTCCTGCGCTTCCGGCCTGGCCGCGCTTTCTCCTTCCGACCGGGACGTGCTGAGAATACAGGACGGACACGGCTGCGGCTGCCCCATACCGGGAAACTACCACGCCCGACCAGCTTTGCCGTCCTCCCCCCCCCCCCCCTCTTTCCCTATTTCTCCCCCTTGCTTCTCTTTTTCTCTCTCTTTCGCTCTTGCTCTCTTCTTGCTTGTCTTCTCTCCTTCCTCTCTTCCTCTTTCTCCTCTCGTGTCTGCTCTATGTGTCTTCACTGCACCCATTGTTCCTGTCTATCTCTGCTCTTTGTCGTTCGTTTTCTCACGCCTGTTTCCCATACTCTCTCCTGCCTCTCTGTGCCCCTTCCTTCACTGCCCGCCTCTGCATTGCTCGCCACCCTCACGCTTGCGTCAGTGCGTGGCTCCACCCCTGTGTTTTACCGGCGGTCCACCCCCACTCGGCGACGTTCGGAGCAGCCGCGCCGGACGGGGCCGGTCCCTCGCCGCCAGCCCACTTTCCACCCTCCACCGGCTCGACCGCACGAACCTGCCGCTGCCGAGTAATCTGCGACGCCGACCGTGCTGCCGCCAAACACGCCGCAGAACTGGGACAGCGGCTGCGGGCTTCTCAAGTCTACTGCAGGTGCGGCTGTGATGGCTTGGGAGTTTGGGAAATGGGAGCGGACACTTTGAGAGTTCCTTGCAACAAGACATACGAGCTTTATGCTTAAGTTGAGTTCTTCAGTTATTTTTGGTTCATACGGATATAAAACAAAATTGTTAGACCATCTTGTTTTCCTCTGCTTGCCTGTAACGGCAGCAAAGGCTTTAAGATGGCCATAGTTTGGAATATAAGTGGCCAGACTGAATCCCTCAGCCGGAACTTTTCGGGGCTGGCTCAGGACCGTAGCTAAAGAGCACCCTTTAACCCTGAGGATGTTCCTCACGGCCAATCAGTCCGGTAGCAGCTGGAAGGCTGGCCGCCCCTGCCGCGGCGGCCGCAGACCCGCCCGGCCCGGCTGGCGGTCCTGCTCGGCTGAGCCGGGCCGCCGGGCCGCGGGCCGACCGGCCGCTGGTCACCGTCGCCGTGCTCGTTCTCAGTCGGGAGTTGCAGTCTCACGCCGCGAAAATGGAGCATGGGAATCGGCGAGCCGTGCGCACATCCGACCGGCCGCGCGGTGCGGCACGAACGTGGCGTGGCGTCGCGGGGTGCGGCGAACGCGGCCGGCGCTGCGCCCTGCCGGCCAGACAGGCCCCACACGGTCTTCAACGGGGAGACTGCAACGTCCGATTGGGACATATCGAAGACTGCGGCCGTCCGCGCGCCTTGTCAGCAACACCAAATTTGACGCGTCGCGTCATTTAAAGGATGCACCAGCGCCGGCGGGGCGGAATTCCGACGGCATCAGTGTGTGCAATGACTGCAACACGAGCTGCATACGAGATTGTCTGGCACTGATTTGCATTCATCCGCAAGCCTGCACTGAGTACTGAATGGTGCTACAGAACCATGAACAAAAAAGCGCAACACGACTCCGCAAACGCGGGCATCCACCGTGACGCCCAACGCCACCACCGGGATTTCTTGTGCTGATATCGTGTGATCGCCCCGCACCACTCCTCAAGCACCTGCCGCACCTCGAGCCCGCGCGTGGGAGGGGAAAGGGGCGAACGTCTCGCCCGGCTGGACGGCTTCCGTGCGAGCGGCCTCGCCAGCCAAGCATAGCGGTCAACATTCCGCTGGTCGTCCACCCCGCTCGTGCGCATGCGCGCCGCTCACCTGGATCTGTTTCCGGTCGACTCGGATGTACATCCAGTTGTCGGTGCCGAAAGCGATGCCGAGCAGCGCCACGGAGATGACCCCGGCCACGGTGGCCAGGGACAGGGTGATGGCCGAGCAGACCATCGCGCCGGCCGGCAGTCGGTTCGTCCGATGTGTACGGCTCGCCACGCGCCCGGTCCGCTCGACTCAGCTGACGCCGCTCGACTGGGGCGGCGGCGGCGGCGGCGCGCTCAGGTGCGCCTCTCGCCACAAGATGGCGGCGCCCGGACGCGGACGAACGACCGCCGCCGGCGGAACCAGACGCCGCGACACGTACACGGGTAGTCTGTCCACGTCTTCTGCGTGAGGCGACACTCGGAGGGGCGCCCGTGACTTGGTTCAGCCGCGCGAAATGCTCGCGACTTGTTTGTGTTTGGACCCGATGCTAACGACCCGAGTCAACATAGCTGAAGCAGCGTCACCAGACGGCTAACAGACAGCCGGACACTGCAGCAGACAGCCGGGCACTGCGGCAGACAGCCGGACACTGCGGCAGACAGCCGGACACTGAGGTAGACAGCCGGACACTGCGACAGACAGCAGGACACTGCGACGGACAGCCGGACACTGCGACAGACTGTCGCAGCAGACAGACTGGCTGCGACAGGAAGACGAGCGGCGCGCTCGGCTTGCTTTGGCGGCGCGGCTGTTTGGTGGGCGCCACTGTCGATGCCTCTGTCAATATGTCGGCGAGCTTCTCTCCGGCCAGGCATTATCGCATACCGATCTGGTCACGTGACTGCGCCCCCTCCCCCCGGCCCTGGCGGGTTGTTTACTCAGTGTGAAAGGGTGGGATCAGCGCCAGCGGCGGGCAAGAGCGGGTGCCTCTGTAGTTTGTGGTAAGGAGAGATATGGAATAGCAACTGCGGTACTAGGTGCTGTGTCCATCACCTGCGGGGCGTCCAGAAGCTGATGGATTTATGCATGCGTGTGCTGCTCAGATGAACGAGCAGAACACATGCACCCAAATCTGAAAAATGAAACAAATGAGAACTAGCGCCATCTGAGCTCGTGACCACTGACAAGATCGGGATCTGATCTCGGGGCAGGTGGCGAAGCCGGGCTGCGCTTCGGACAGATATCGTGAAGGTCCGGCTGAAGAACGGATACGCGGCAGAGTTACGCAGGTGGTCGATAGGCAACAGGCTCAAGGTTGCTGCCAGCCCGCATCACTTCCACCGCAAACCACATCACTTCCACCGCCTTGCAAACGCGGCCAATATATCGGATCTATTATTCAATAATACCGGCTCCGCCTCACACCTTCGTGCCGGTATGCAGGACACTCGCCGCGCACCGTGATTGGAGCTCCGAACGGCGCCAAGGACACACCCAGCCCCGGCAAGCCCAGTCAAAACATTCCAGGCATTGTTCTGAGGGCCAACCCAATCGCCACAAACATTTCACTCTAGGCTATACTTACGCCGTGTAAGAATCGATTTATTCCGAGCCCGTAAACTAAAGCCACATGACAGGGAAGTAATCATTTGAATCAAGCTCATTCACAGTGAGTTGGTGTTTGCCGCAGGTTGAGGATGGCACCGACTACGGAATTAACAAAACTTTCATTGGCCTATAGTGGAGCCGATTACGCTGCAGTTTTCTCGCTAGTTAAAACCAAAGTTGTCAATAAAGTCCCCAATGTCATCTCAAGCAAAAATGCAAGCCGCAGGGTATACTTTTGTTCTCGCAGCTCCCACGCATGCGTACCGAGTGGTAGACGGTCATGTCACTGCACTGCTTTTGTTCTTGCAGCTCCCACGCATGCGTACCGAGTGGTAGACGGTCATATGTCACTGCACTGCTTCTGTTCTCGCAGCTCCTACGCATGTGTACCGAATGGTAGACGGTCATATGTCACTGCGCTGCCATCGCAATGAATGCGCTATTTAGGCTACCATGCGGGCCATAGAATGGGTTCTTTTCTAAACCGGTGTAATTGCGATCGGTTCCATCGGAACTGATCCCGGAAGTGAGTGAGAGTGAGAGAGAGTAAGGTCCCGGAGCCACGCCCCCGTAGGTCCGCTCCATCGAAACTCATCCCGGGAGTGAGTGAAAGAGTGAGAGTGACAGCAGCGCCGCGCAGAGTTGCGCTCGGAGTCGGAATCCCCTCCTTGTGACGCACGGATTCCTCTGAAGCGAACCCAAGCACAGGTGCGGTGCAAGCACGCTTCTTGTCATACAGCCTGGCATACAGCCCTCGGCAATACCTGCGGAATCCGCAGAAGCTCACGATGATATGGCGGCCCGTTTATTGGCTCCACTCACACACGGGCACTGGCAGCGACAGGAATCCAACGCACTGGCGGATCAACGAACACACCAGCCGACCGGACCAGCACAGACCAGTCCTCTGATGCGGGCGGGCAGAGCAGTGGGGGGGGGGGGGGGGGGCACGAGCACAGTCGCACGGGTCGGCAGCGGTGCAGCGGCTCGCGCTCGCGGCGTCATAGCCACAGTACAGGCATAGGGGCCGCTCAGTGGTGTGGTGCGCACCAGCTTAAACAAACCTAATAGTGACTAGACGGCCGTCACATATGGGCCAGTAGCTGCCACATACGTAATAGTAGTTGCCACTTAACTACCAGCGACTGCCACACCCGCTATTGCGAATGCCCCCGACGACGATCTCGTACGAACGCCAATAAGCAGCAGCACGTAATTACGACTTCCACACCGTGTCTGACCACCTCACATATTCAGATGAACACCAGTTAACAGTACAGTGACAAGCGTCACAACATAATCATCCGGTGAGAAACTGCGGATATGGTCCTCTTGGCGCCTCCATAACATTCAGGATGGCAGCGATCAGGCAAGACTGTGCGGTAACGAAACTGATACAAATGGTTCAGCAAAAATAACACATAAAAGCAATTAATTCATGCGTAGCAAAGAGCCAGCGTCTGATTTGGTGAGAGGAATTGAGCGTGGCTGATTCCACCGAAGCTCCGATCGCTGTTACCCTGCACGCCAACACATATGCCAATACATTCAAGCGCCGCATACACCCCCCGCAACCACATCCCGCACTGCGTAGCTGGACAGTGCAACTAACACCTGTTGCGCTTAAAAGAACAAGAGGCAAAACGATGGTCAAACGAAACCAAATCCAAGTTACGGAGCGACTCCAATGAACAACCCGCCACACCAACTCGCCAGCAAAGCGGTGACCTGAGACCGATCCCAGTGTCGCCCTGGCCTGCCCCGAGCCCGGCTGCCGTGGGAGTGACCCGCCGGCTCCCCACGCCGCCAGCGGGACACTGCCCGGGTGCCGCGCAACGAGGAACGAACACAACGTCTGCACCGGCAGTGAGGCGACCGCTTCACAGCCCGAGAGGGGACGGCCCACCACCGGGTACGGCATCCCGTGTCTCTTTCAAAGAAGGACGGCGGTCGTGAAGAGAAGTGACTAGAATCTGGGACAATATCCCATCAAAAACAGCTGAATGCAGAAGAGCTGATAAGCATTAGAGATTGAGTTCCATCACAGGCAGTTTGCGCGAGTCCCTAAAATCCGAAACTGGATTATGTGGTGGGACAGGGTGCCACGACTACCACGTACGGGTCCCTAAAATTCGAAACTGGATTGCGTGGTGGGACAAGTGCCTTGGACGGGATGGCGCGACCATGACGTGACTGGTGAGGGTCCAGACATCAAAACATCAGCGTTCTGCACGCAGAGGACGACAGCGCAGAAGACGCGGAGGTAGCGCTTGGCGGTTAGCTCTGTGCGCAGAGTTGACTAGCGTGAGGCGACGTATCCCAAACGAGGACAGCTTTCACTGAAGTATAACTACTGAGAGCAGTCTTCCTCCTGCCACAGAAAGTTATGGGTAAGTATCTTGCTGTACCCACATGGCGTTACATAAAAGCGGCTTAGTATTCTGAACAGCATCACATGACAAAAAGGTCGTGTTAAGCAGTGTTCTAGCGTTTGAAACAATGTCTCAACACAAAAATATAAAGCTCAATAACTAGCAGAGGAAAGCGTCTCAACGCTGACGGAGCTATGTAGCGCGAACAGTACTCAACGCACAATAACCTGTATAAAGGAGAGACTGGAATGTGAAACAGCATTCAAGATAAGTAAAGCTGCGTGGAAAGGGGACTACAATTTCGAGACCCATCCCATTGACAGCAGTTTTCTGTAGAAGTCACGATAAACAGATGTAATGGCGCCCAGACACCGAGTCTGGTACATAGGAGTGACTAGCATTTGGAGAAACATTCCGGCAACACACAGCATTGGGTGTAAGGGTGAGAAGTGACTATTCATGTAGAAGGGTGTTAGATGAGTGACTAGACGTGTAGAGGGGTGCTAGATGAGTGACTAGACGTGTAGAGGGGGTAAAAGATGAGCGACTAAACGTGTGGAGGGGTGCCAGATGAGCGACTAGACGTGTGGAGGGATGCTAGATGAATGGCTAGACATGTAGAGGGGAGCTAGATGAGCAACCAGTCTGGAATGGCTTTCCACCAGAGACAATTTGGCAGAGGAGTGACTAGCATTTGACACAACATTTCGACACAACTTGCGCATATGGACAGCGAGTGGCTTATACCAGAGGGGTGACCAGCTTTTGGAATGGCATCCACCAAAGACAATTGACTGTAAAGAGGATCTAGCCTTCGTGTGCATATCTCACTAAGAAAAGTTACATAACACGGTGCCGTGTCAAGGAAAGCTTTGAGAAACAAGCAGGTTAGTGTTTCGCAAGGTGTGTCCTAATGCATACAGGCTCCAGAGATACGCCAACGAAACAAGGGAAAGCCCTAGACCAATTCGCGCAGTACCCGTGATTCCAGCACCAAAGACCGTACACAGACATCACGCCCCAACCTATAAACAGCGACAGGATGTCACAGCACACCTCGCAACGGCAATAACCGACGCTGACCAATAATGGCAGTGACCAAGTTCTGTAAGGAGAATTCAAGATAGGTGAACATGACCGAAAGTCTAGCAACATTTGCGGCACAGTCTCTCGCCGATGCTATAATCTCCGCCGAGGCTAAAACTGGGAAATGGAACAGCGCCATCTTTCGGACGTTCTGAGAGGGAGAGAGGGGCGATGAGCGCCAGAGCGTGAGCGGAGAGGCTGGAGCGCAGCACGACTGCGAGCCGAAGGCGTGGAATCGACACACAGGCCGGAGGGGCCGCCGGTCGGAGCTGCCGCAGACAGCAGAGGGGCGCGAGTGGCGGACGGTGCGACAGACCGCCGGTCGCGTCCCCGCCGGTCGCGGAGGGCACCTCCCGCGCCGGCTGTGAGGACGGTCAGGGGCCGGCGGCGGCCGACCCTGCGCAGTGGTGGCGGCCAATGCGGTGCCGGAGAGCCTGGTGGCGGCGGCCGAGACGTGCAGCCGCTTAGGCTACAGCTGGCTGGCCGGCGGCAGATCGGGCTGGCCGGCTAGGTCAGGCCGCCCGAGGCCGCATCGGCACCATCCCCAGTCGGTGGTGGACCGCACCACCCCCCGCCGGTGGTGGACCGCACCATCCCCAGTCGGTGGTGGGGTGCACCATCCCTCGTCGGTGGTGTAGTGCACCATCCCTCGCCGGTGGTGGACCGCACCATCCCTCGCCGGTGGTGGAGTGCACCATCCCTCGCCGGTGGTGGACCGCACCATCCCTCGCCGGTGGTGGACCACACCATCCCCGGCCGGTGGTGGACCGCCGCAGCCCGCCGCCTCCGATCACAGCTTGGAGGCCGGCTCGGGCAGCTGGCCGTACAGGTTGCCGCAGGCGAACACGTTGTGCGGGTCCAGGTATTGTTTGGTGGCGCGCAACACGCCAAGGCCTGGCGGCAGAGGGCGGCCCGCGTCCAGGCTCTCACACCACGGGGCACGGTGGCGAACGGACGGCGACGGCTGCCGCAGCCTCGGCGGTCGACTGACAGCAGTAATCACAGGCAGACCAACGCATACGAACAGAGCCCAGTACTCTATGAAAGTCCACTGAATGAGTCAGCTTAAAGCAGGAGTTCAGTTCGTTGTGGCCTATCAGCCTTCAGCCAGCCAGCCCTATCAGCACTACTTCGAGGCATCCGGCTTCATGGAAATTTGGGAAACACCTCTGACGGGAATACAAAATGCAGTGAGAAACTGATAGAATCCAGTGTAAGAAGCTTTAAAACCTACACGCGTACGGTAAATAAGGATCGCTACTGACATCTACCTTTGTATCTATATTGTTGAAGGATGTGTGCTTTGTTAAAGTCACTAGTCCAGCAAGATTTCGTGGCCGCTCCGCGACACGCCAACGTGCAAACCGTTAGCAACCCTGCATTTCATCTTTTGATCCATCGTAGTTCCGTCAGCCGCGGCCAGCCGTTCAGACAGGTTCGTCTCCCGTAAAAACAACCGTAAGCGAAGCGTGGCAAAGTCATCCGCTGGCTCGGCGTGGCGCTCCGCCTGTCCGTACCGGGCGCCGAGACGGTCTCCTCCATCCAGCGCTGCCGGATCTTGCCGACGCCGTGGTGATGAGAGATGGAGCCGCCGCACCGCAGGATCTCGTCCCGGGCCGCCGCCTACGGACAAGGGCCGGTCAAGGTCAGCAGACGGGTCAAGGTCAGCAGACAGATCAAGGTCAGCAGGTGAGGCAAGGTTACACCGCAGGATCTCATCCTGAGCCGCCGCCTGCGGACCCGGGCCGGTCAAGGTCAGCAGACGGGTCAGGGTCAGCAGACGGATCAGGGTCAGCAGATGGGGCAAGGTCAACAGGCAGGTCAGGGCCGGCTGCTGTCCCGCAGGAGATGGGCCGCGGCCAGCGGCCATGTCCGTGGTCAACCGCAGTAAGCGACAGACTGGCGGCGGCCGGTTCACGGTCGCCGTACGATCGTCATTGTCTCACTAAATGAGCAAGGGGATCACGGCAGCTGGGAGACGGTCGAGCAATGCGAGAAGACCCGATGCTGTTGGAGCACAAGAGCGCCTCGAGTGGGCGGGCGGGGGACACAGTCCATACAGTTGTGCATCGCCCACGGAGCACAACAAACATAGCACGATGAGTCGAACGTCAAACGGATGGGTTCGGATTCGAGGTGATAAACCTGCAACTTTTTCCCATCCTGCATACATAAATCACAAGCTGCAGGTTAAAATTGACGAGCGCCAGAAGTATTCCATGTCACCACACTCTTAGTGCTGGCCTTGTCGGACCGCAAGCACACTGTCGCCACTCCCAAGGGGCGTGTGTTTAAGCAGCCCTCCTCGACACTTCCACAGGACGTGTGCCGGCTCAGCGGGACCAAGGACGAGTGGCCGGCCTGCGCAGCGGAACAGCCGACCACAAGGTCACCGAGCCGGGCGGCCTGCGGCGCCCACAGGCCGGGCCAATCCTCAGCCCATAGGTCAAGGAGCCCTGGCCGGGTCTGCGGCAGACGTGGCCCCCGAACAGCCAATCCCCGGCCCACAGGTCAACAAGCCCTGGCCGGGCCTGCGGCAGACGTGACCCCCGCACAGCCAATCCCCGGCCCACAGGTCACCCAGCCCGGGCGGGCCTGCGGCAGACGTGACCCCCGCACAGCCGATCCCCGGCCCACAGGTCACCCAGCCCGGGCGGGCCTGCGGCAGACGTGACCCCCGCACAGCCGATCCCCGGCCCACAGGTCACCCAGCCCGGGCGGGCCTGCGGCAGACGTGACCCCCGCACAGCCAACCCCCGGCCCACAGGTCACCGAGCCCGGGCGGGGCCTGCGGCAGACGTGACCCCCGCACAGCCAATCCCCGGCCCACAGGTCAACAAGCCCTGGCCGGGCCTGCGGCAGACGTGACCCCCGCACAGCCAACCCCCGGCCCACAGGTCACCGAGCCCGGGCGGGGCCTGCGGCAGACGTGACTCCCGCACAGCCAATCCCCGGCCCACAGGTCACCGAGCCCGGGCGGGCCTGTGGCAGACGTGACCCCCCACAGCCGATCCCCGGCCCACAGGTCACCGAGCCCGGGCGGGCCTGCGGCAGACGTGACCCCCGCATAGCCGATCCCCGGCCCACAGGTCACCGAGCCCGGGCGGGCCTGTGGCAGACGTGACTCCCGCACAGCCAATCCTCAGCCCATAGGCCAAGGAGACCTGGCCGGACCTGCGGCAGACGTGACCCCCGCACAGCCAATCCCCGGCCCACAGGTCACCGAGCCCGGGCCGGACCTGCGGCAGACGTGACCCCCGTACAGCCGATCCCCGGCCCACAGGTCACCCAGCCCGGGCGGGCCTGCGGCAGACGTGACCCCCGCACAGCCGATCCCCGGCCCACAGGTCACCGAGCCCGGGCGGGGCCTGCGGCAGACGTGACTCCCGCACAGCCAATCCCCAGCCCGGGCGGGCCTGTGGCAGACGTGACTCCCGCACAGCCGATCCCCGGCCCACAGGTCACCGAGCCCGGGCGGGCCTGCGGCAGACGTGACTCCCGCACAGCCGATCCCCGGCCCACAGGTCACCGAGCCCGGGCGGGCCTGCGGCAGACGTGACCCCCGCATAGCCGATCCCCGGCCCACAGGTCACCGAGCCCGGGCGGGCCTGTGGCAGACGTGACTCCCGCACAGCCAATCCTCAGCCCATAGGCCAAGGAGACCTGGCCGGACCTGCGGCAGACGTGACCCCCGCACAGCCAATCCCCGGCCCACAGGTCACCGAGCCCGGGCCGGACCTGCGGCAGACGTGACCCCCGTACAGCCGATCCCCGGCCCACAGGTCACCCAGCCCGGGCGGGCCTGCGGCAGACGTGACCCCCGCACAGCCGATCCCCGGCCCACAGGTCAACAAGCCCTGGCCGGGTCTGCGGCAGACGTGACCCCCGCACAGCCAATCCCCGGCCCACAGGTCACCCAGCCCGGGCGGGCCTGCGGCAGACGTGACCCCGCACAGCCGATTCCACCGCCTGAGCAGGGCTTGCGGCAGACGTGACCCCGCACAGCCGATCCCGGCCCAGGTCACCGAGCCCGGGCGGGCCTGCGGCAGACGTGACTCCCGCACAGCGATCCCCGGCCACAGTCACCATGGCATGCCAGACCAATACCCGGCCCACAGGTCACCGAGCCCGGGCGGGCCTGCGGCAGACGTGACCCCCGCACAGCCGATTCCCCGGCCGTGGGCAGGGCTTTAGGTTGGGTCATAAGCTTCATGAGAATATAATCCGAAATCCATGGCATGAAGAAATGAACAAGTACGCACCGTTGTTTTCAAACATGTGCGCATACGACTATATTGCAAATAACGTGTCATCTATCAAACAGCACGTTACTTTGAGAGCAAATCATATCACCAACATCAACCAACCACAACCTCACAGTGGACCACCGAAGTGCAACAGAACCCAGAGATGCACCGAACATTTCACACATCGCCCAGCCTATTGCTGCCCCAAAATTTATCCAACACGCTGTCTAACATATATTAACATATGTGTTCATACAACATACCCTGCATTAACATATGCCTCCTCATCGACTGAAATTGTTAAGAAAGGTGTTCCTGATTTTCAATTATAATGGAATACATGAAGCATATTGATTCGACGGCAGTCTGCTCACTGGTGCGCGAAACGCCGGTTGCAGCCGAAGCGCCGCAAAAGCTAACGATGGTTATCATCCGCACACAGGCGACTCACTTGAAATGAAGACAGAGCGCATCGCATTTGTGGTGCACACTCATGATGAGTGTGAGAACGGAAGCAGCAATGATGGCCGTCAGAGCTTGCTGGGAACATATCTCCACGACGCAAGACAAAACTGACCAAACTTGTCCTTGCTGACACGCCAAAACTGAAAATACCCCAGTCATGACCCAACTCCCGTCCTCACCTCCACATCCTCGTACATGCGGACGGGGTCAGCCACGCCCTTGTAGCAGAAGGCGAAGTAGAAGTACACCACGGCGCCGGCGTCATAGGTCTGCGTCACGCGGCACGTGATGAAGACGGAGCTCACGCCGCGGTCTGCGGAGACAGACGGGACGTGGTGAGCAGTCAGCATGGTCCCCGGACCCCCCCCCCCCCCCCCTCGCCCGCCCTCAGAACACGTGGTTGATGTGCCAACGCCACAGCAGCAACGTCATATCAGCCGCGTCACAGCCGATGTAGTCGGCGACAGACACTTTCTGGAATTTAATGGTGAACACAGATCAGTACTCAGCGACCAAGTATATGTGTATTATGTGAGCATTTGAGGGTATACTGCGAGCGCGAGACCGGCGGCGCGAGGCCCGGTGACGCGAGGCCCGGCGGCGCGAGGTCCGGCGGCGCGAGGCCCGGCAGCGCCAGGTCCGGCGACGCGAGGCGTGCCGCGCTCGTGACTTACCGCTGCACTCCTGGCGCACGCGCCTCTTGACACTGTCGCACACGGTCAGGCACCGGTCCCACGGCATGGACGTCTCGAATGACTCGGACAGCATCTGGAAGTCGAACGCCAGGTCCTGCCGGAAAGCTTCGGTCACTGGCGAGGCGACGGTGACGACACATGACCGGTAGCGGAGTGCTCATCGACAGCTGACAAAACACCAGCCACCGCCAAACAGCCGACTCGCTGACCGTGAAATGTTCACCAGGTGGTGACACCCTGGACACCACCAGCCAATGACTTACCAGCTGGCAATACAATACCAAACTAATTACATATGTATGAAATAATCGCTCCCATCGTCGTCGCCATATAGCGTGTCAGCATGGACAAACTAACGTGCCGATTATAACAGCCCACCAGCTAACCATGATTGCCACTAATGGCCAATGGCACCTCACTGCTCTGAATCGAATGTCAGGAATACCATATTGACTAATCAGCCACCACGACGTCAGCATACAGCCGGGCAGAGCGTGCGGACGCTCGCGATGGCGGCCATAAGACGCGTGGAACGTGACACACACGGCGTCAGCGAGAGAGCACGACGGGCCACGTCCACCAACGAGCGCCAGAGGGAAGCCTCCGGACCGGCGCCCGCCCCCAGGCGTCCCACCGCGCGTCCAGCAGCGGAAGCGGCCGCAGCCCCGCCCGTCCGCACCCGTATGTAGGCGATGACGAACGTGAGCATGTAGCCACGCTTGCCGTTCTCCTCGCCAACCGAGAAGCCGCCGTGGGTGGTGGCCAGCTCCAGCACGCGGCGCTCCTGCTCGGCCACCTCCTGTTCGGTGCCTGCCACCGGGGGTCACGGTCAGTGGTATGTGCAGGGGGAAAACTGCTGCTGCTGGTCACTGCTGCGGCGGCCAGGGGTCACGGTAAGCGGCGCGGGGTAGGGGAGAGCCGCCGTCACTGCCGCAGCGGTCAGGGGTCAAGGGTCGGCGGTTTTCTGTACATCGCATCGCGCAATATGTTGGTATTGTCGGCGTCACGACAACGCCGTGTACAGACCCCGCGAGGATTTTTGACTCGTCACGGCAGAGCCCGGGACTAATGGGACCCGGAGAGAGCGAGGAACGGCCGGTCTAGGGGTGGAGAGTGCGGGCTGGTAAGTTACGCAGAAAATGTACCCACACTCACGCATTTACCAACGGACATTACAGAGATCGCATAATGCCAGCTTGAAAGAACGGAGATGAAGGCACAATTCAGTCTAAGAATTACACATCCTTATTTTCCACTGCGCAAGCATTCGGCACGCAGCTGATACTATATTATCGGGAACTGGCTAACAGCACCCAGTGCGCGTGGGAGCTCTGCCTCCACAGCGCCAGCACCGGTGACAGATACGGCCGCGGACGCATCAGTCTCAGCTCACCTTCGAACATGAGGGTGGCTATGCACAGAGTATCAGGGTCGAAGCCCTTCCATTTAGTGATGTACGCCTTTTGGAGAGCACTCTTGATCCAGCCGAACGACCCCGACGCCGTCTTCAAGGCTTGGCCTGCCGAAAACGACGCATTTTACGTCAGAATTTCACAGCTTTCAATACCATATCACCAAAATGGGTAGCACCAAACCACGCAACAGCCCATTATGTGTCAACGTCATTGACACTACATCGTGAGCTTTGCACCGAGCACAAAACCCCGCAATGTGATCCAGTGCACAGGCTGTGACGTCACATCGCAGGGCGCACGCCAGCTCGCTTTTGACGAGCTAGCCAATCAGAGAACGTCTTATCCAGAACACTGGCATTGGCCTACCCAGTGCTGGATTTACGATGCGGGCAAACAGCTACGTCCAGCGTTTGCCATCGGCAGAAGCCATTTGGTTCTGTCACCCCGCGGGTGGGGTGCACGACAGCTGACCAGGGCTGTCCGCGGCCGTCATACCTACGACACATCGGAACGAACACAGCCGGGTGCTCTGAACCCCCCTCGGGCCGGCACCCGACTCGCACCCAACTCCTGCCCGACAACGCCACCGTGTTCGGTCGACGCGTCGGCACCGCGCCGCGCTCACCGAACTTAAACTGCTCGTTGTCCATGAGCCGGACGCTGGCCGGCTGCAGGCGGCGCGCGGCCACGTCGCGCATGAAGCGCACGCCGCACACGAACTGCGGGAACATGAGGCCGCCGTAGCGGCGACACGGCGGCACCGGCCGGATCTTCAGCGTCACCTCGGTGATGATGCCCAGCGTGCCTGGCGGCGGCGGACGGGGGTAGGGGCGGCGAACGGCGGACGGGGTCAGGGTCGGACGGGGTCAGGGGCGGGGCAGGCGAGGACAGACCGGCCGGGCGGGGAGACACGTGGGGGTTAGATGAGCAGACGCAGATGAGACTCAGTGGCACAGGGCTTGGTGAGCTCAGCGGTAGAGGGACAGATGGATTGAACATACGAGGGAATAAATGCCAACGGTACAGGTCAGCGCGGAGGTTAGCAATATGCGGAGAGACACACGTCAGGTACACAAGAACGGACAGACGCCAGCCAAGCACTGACATAAATATGACCAACATTTAGAACGCCACGGTCAATGTTCCAGCGCTCACCGCTAACCCAACGGGCACCAGATGGCCACCAGATTGGGCACCGGCTACAGACGCCTCTTCCCCTACCCGTCCCGTCACCTCACCCACCCTCAGAGCCGAGCACCACCTGGTGCAGGTCGGGCCCGGCCGAGAGGCGCGGCGCGCGGCAGCCACGCTCCAGCACGCCGCGTGGCGTCACCAGCCGCACGTGCACCAGCAGGTCCTCGATGTTGCCGTACACGTTCTTCTTCATGCCCGAAGCGCGCGTGGCCACCCAGCCGCCCAGGCTGCCGGCGGACGGGGCAAGCGGTCAGGCGGCGGAGGCCGGGTCACGCCGTGGTCAACCGGCCACGCGGAGCGGCGCGAAGGAGCGGCATCAGCCGCGCGTCACCTCAGCGGCCTTCAGACCTTGGGCCAGACCGGGAGCCATACCAGGGCTCCCTCCCACCATGGGCCAGACCAAGGGTCAAACCAGGGCTCCCGCAGACCATGAGCTAGACCGGGAGTCATACCAGGGCTCCCTCAGACCATGGGCCAGACCAAGGGTCGTACCAGGGTTCCCGCAGACCATGAGCTAGACCAAGGGCCGTACCAGGGCTCCCTCAGACCATGGGCCAGACCAAGGGTCGTACCAGGGCTCCCGCAGACCATGAGCTAGACCAAGGGCCGTACCAGGGCTCCCCCCCCCCGATCATAGGCCAGACCAAGGGTCGTACCAGGGTTCCCGCAGACCATGAGCTAGACCAAGGGCCGTACCAGGGCTCCCTCAGACCATGGGCCAGACCAAGGGTCGTACCAGGGCTCCCGCAGACCATAAGCTAGACCAAGGGCCGTACCAGGGCTCCCTCAGACCATGGGCCAGACCAAGGGTCGTACCAGGGCTCCCGCAGATCATGAGCTAGACCAAGGGCCGTTTCTGCGCCCCTCACCTGGAGAACTCGTACGAGTCAGGCTCGTGGCCACACGTGAAGCCCTGGCTCTGGAGCACACGCTCCAGGTCCTGGCCGATGATGCCCGCCTCGCACCGCGCCGTCAAGTTGGTCGGGCACACTGACAGCACGCGCGCCATCTGTGACGTGTCGACGGAAGCTACAGTGCGCGGCTCGCCCGCCGGGCGGAGGAGCGCTCCGGTGACCGAGGTGCCGCCGCCGTACGGGATCAGCGCCACGTCGTGCTCGCCGCTCAGCTGCACCAGCCTCACCACGTGCTCGTGGCTCTCTGTCGGTATCGACACGTGCGCTCATAATCCGTGCACGTGGCTCTGCGATCCAGGCCCGATTAGGGGACCTGTAGTTAAGGACATGCAAGAATGTGTACGTGTGTATGCTATGAACATACAAATAAAACAAGCGTTTAGTTGAACCCCAATGACGAGGCGTACACGGTTCAAAGTTGCCTGGCACATCCGTTCAAGTTTCCAAACAGTTCAACCCCGCGTTTTCTAGCACCTCCGTGTTTGCGCGCGAATCATGACACACGCCCCTCCCGCGAGAATGGACGACAGCAGCCATGACCGCCCGAACGCCGTCGCCGCGCGTCCCCGGGGTCACTCCTCGGATGTCCTACCGAGGCCAGCCTACGGCGCTGAACCGCAGGCCGCCAGTCGGCGCCGCCGACGGGAGGACCGTCTCTCACCAGGCCAGACGACCACGTCCACGAGCGGCGGCAGCGAGGCCGAGCGCAGCGCGAAAATCTCGTGCATGGTGTGGCCATGCGAGCGCCAGAGACGGTCGTCACCGGCGACGGAGTGGCTGATGCCAGCCGCCGTCAGCGCCGCCAGGAACTCTGCCGGCACCGGCCGACCGGCTCGTGAAGGACAGTGTGCAGGACAGTGCTACGGACAAGTCCACAAACGACTCTGGACGGACTTCCAAAGGAGCAAAAGTCGAGCCCTCCCGATCAGTAGCTCCATGCTCCGGAGCGCTTCCCTCGAAGGTAAATGACAAAAGGGTACAAGGAGTCGGACCATCACAGGCCACACCAGCGACCGATAGCAGCCTCAACCCCCACCTCCCAAACCCATTCGCAGCCATAGCAGCCGTAGCAAACCCATAGCAGCCTTAACCCCCCACCTCCCAAACCCATTCGCAGCCATAGCAGCCATAGCAAACCCATAGCAGCCTTAACCCCCACCTCCCAAACCCATTCGTTTAAGAGCGGGACCTTGCTATTCGCGCATGCACACGATCTAATAATGACGATCATTTGGGTTTTAGGGCACACCGAGCGCCGAGGCCGGTGTCAGAGTACCAGGCTGTCTCGTGGCTCGGGTCACGGCACCAGGTTGCGTCCCGGGGCTCGAGTCACGCTTCCAGGATGTCTCGAGGCTCGCGTCACGGCACCAGTTTGAGAGCACGTATTGAGTTATTGTCTCGTTCGAGAACACAAAACGGGTGCTCACATGATCAGTCACCAAATTGCAACAAAAAACCTTTTATCCATATAGCCCTGGTCTATGCACAGGGTGGGTGTCTGCCTACTGTTCTCTGTTTCCTGCAACACTGTTGAGCATACCTACCCATTCGCCACATGTTTTGCGGCGGGCACTCACCCTGGCGCACGTTGGGGGGCGGGTAGTCCTGCTCGGCCGGCTCCGGCTGCGGGTGGTACTGCACGGACGTGTCCAGTCCCAGCTCGGTCTCCACCCAGCGCAAGAACAGGGGGAGTCGCTCGCCGTGGCCGATCGGGTACCTGCACAGACCAGGTCAAACGATGCCAGACACGTGCGGAGCCCTCGAGAGCCGGTGGTGGTCGGGGAACCACAGGCCAAGACAAGCGATGCCAGACATGTGCGGAGCCCTCGGGAGCCGGTGGTGGTCGGGGAACCACAGGCCAGGTCGAACGATGTCAGACACGTGCGGAGCCCTCGAGAGCCGGTGGTGGTGGGGGACCACAGGCCCAGTCGAACGATGTCAGACACGTGCGGAGCCCTCGAGAGCCGGTGGTGGTCGGGGAACCACAGGCCAAGACAAGCGATGCCAGACATGTGCGGAGCCCTCGAGAGCCGGTGGTGGTGGGGGACCACAGGCCAGGTCGAACGATGTCAGACACGTGCGGAGCCCTCGAGAGCCGGTGGTGGTCGGGGACCACAGGCCAGGTCAAACGATGTCAGACACGTGCGGAGCCCTCGAGAGCCGGTGGTGGTCGGGGAACCACAGGCCAGGTCAAACGATGCCAGACATGTGCGGAGCCCTCGGGAGCCGGTGGTGGTCGGGGGCCACAGGTTAGGTCAAACGATGTCAGACACGTGCGGAGCCCTCGAGAGCCGGTGGTGGTCGGGGAACCACAGGCCAGGTCAATCGATGTCAGACACGCGCGGAGCCCTCGGGAGCCGGTGGTGGTCGGGGAACCACAGGTCAGGTCAAACGATGCCAGACACGCACAGAGCCTCGGGAGCCGGTGGTGGTGGGGAACCACAGGTTAGGTCAATCGATGTCAGACACGTGCGGAGCCCTCGGGAGCCGGTGGTGGTCGGGGAACCACAGGCCAGGTCAAACGATGTCAGACACGTGCGGAGCCCTCGAGAGCTGGTGGTGGTCGGGGGACCACAGGCCGAGGCAGAGGATTCAGACAGGGGCACATTTCGCAGACGCTAGAAATGGGAGGCTCCATGATTGCAAAAGCAATCGCCGCGAGTTATTCACATCGACGACCAGATATACGCAGCGCACGTATGCAAGAGACACAAATGGATCTTTTTGCAGTGCAAAACCATGATAAACACGGCGATGAATGGTGAAATGGAGGCGAAACACCCAACCCGAGTATAGCAAAATTATAAGGGACATGCAGATTACTGAACATGAAATTATGACATCACCTGTCAAATCCGACACTCACAAAAACACCCACTCTGCCACTATTCCAGTGAATTGCTGTTATACATGTATGAATCTCCACATCAATAGCAAACGGTAACAACATTTTGACAACTGAATTCCGACCCTAAAACAGTTCGCGTTGCTGCGATAAGACAATCCAAATTTGAGCAACGAATTCCGTTCCTACCTTTCGCCTGAGAACATTATGGCACTGTCCTTGAGCATAAACTTGGAGTCCTTGTAGCCCCAACCGTTCCATTTGAGCAGCTCTTGCCTGAAAACCAGTTCGCCTGATGAGGAGTGCGTTCCATTGGTAAGTTAGACCAGTGGGAGTGATGCTCCCGCAAAACGCTGGTTGGCTGTCGGACAGCACTTTGGGTCTGAGCGAGACGATACCACACAATTTCCGGGCCAATAGCAGTGCCTTCATTGCATTAGTGCGACTTGTTTCGTTCACACTGGGCATCAGAGCGCGAAAAGTACCTCAACGCATCTAAAGCATCTCTTGGCACGTGCATTACAATGTGTTCCATGAACCAAGGCGAACGTGTCAACACGGTCCCGAGTACTCACCTACGCTTGGGAAGGAAGCTGCTGTTTTGACATCGCTCCTTTTGATCCATCCTGCTGAGGGCGTATATCGTGAAACATCGACTCACTCGTCACGCACAGCTGTCCTTGCAACCAGACCGAGACTACGACACACCTACGCTCTCTGTTCCGTTCTGTTCCGCTCTACGCTCGTGTTAAACGCAAATACGGCCTGTCGTTCCAAGCGTCGTGTAAATTCACGTGAGGTTACGGTCCGCTTATCTTGAGCAGCGCCGCCTATCGGCATCCGAACACACTGCGACGGTCGGTGTAACCAGCCGGACCCCAGCGCGCGGCGTCGACTCACTAGCGGCACCACATCCGCCAGACGGCACTGCCGAGCTCGGAGCGCCGCCAGAACAACAGCAAACACAGCCAGTCATTGGATGCGTTCGTGAGGAGGTGGTGGCGGTGCAGCGCACGGCGGAGGGCGCCGTCCGACATATGTGCGAATGCTGTCATCTTATTCCGTCAGCAGGACGAGCGTGGATCGACAGAGGCACCGGCAAAACAACCGCAAGCCGGGGATAGAGATGCGAGGAACGAAATAAGTCAGTTGTCGCTGTCACAAAGCACTGACAGCAAGTGTACTGTGGTAAGCTGTCAACGGCCGCCTCCGAAGCGGCGATCCCAGCGGGACAGGTCAAAGAAAACGTCAGCAGTGCCGACGGAACAGCAGCGGCAGCGTTGTGATAGTCAGAAACCCGCTAAGCGCCGTCATCACAACGGGGAGGAGGGGACTTACAACCGAGCACTGCCACTCAGCTGAAAGGAGAGGACTTACACCCAGCCACTGCCGGCCAACTGAGAGGACAGGACGTACACCCGGTTACTGCCGCCCAACTGGGAAGGGAGGACTTGCACCCAGCCACTGCCAGCCAGCTGGGGGGAGACTCACAACCGGCCATTGCCGGCCAACTAGGAGCAGAAGACTTACACCCGGACACTGCCGCCAAGCTGAGAGGAGAGCACTTACACCCAACCACTGTCACCAAGCTGGGAAGAGGGCACTTACACCCCACCACTGTCGCCCAGCTGGGAAGAGAGCACTTACACCCGGACACTGCTACCCAAACTGGAGGGAAGGCCTTGCACGGGGACACCACCGCCCTACGGGGAGGAGATACCTAACACCCAGGCCAAAGCATTAGATAACGGTTCATAAACCCATACAGTAAAATCGATAAGCGTGTATCTTTATTGGCGGAGCTTTTTGGAGCACACAAGGATATGGTAGTGCCGGGGCCGAATCATAGGCTGACCACGTAAGCCAACAGCACATGCCATACCAGCCGGAGGAGCCGCCTCGGGGAATCAGAATGAGCCACGGACCATGATAGGCTAAGGTCGCTATTCAGACCAGATCTGCCGCCCGTCGGCAGGGACCAGGCGAGCGAGAGCACTAGAGCGAGGTCGGACGGCCGGGGGCCAACACCACCTCACTGTCGTCCCGGCTCTGGCATCACGGCCCGTCCCTGTCCCCCCGCCGAGAGCCGGTGCTGCGCCCCCGCCGGGAGTGGGAGTGGGGCCATCCCAAGCGTCGTTGTCGCGGAGCTGTGGCCCGATCGTGCCGCCGTCGCCGCCGCCGACTTGGCGCGGCCCGCCCAACACGGCACGTGTACCGAGTGAGTCAGAGCTGCCGGTGGGGGAGGGGGCGTGACGGCCACCTGCGGACGGCGGCGCCGGTGCGGCGCGGCACGCTCAGGCGCACTTGGAGCAGACCGCGTCAGCGGCAGCAGTCAGCAGCAGAGCGATACACGCCAACGCTGGTTGTACGGCCTTTGACGCATATTTGTGCAAAGTTGGCACGTTAACTTCTTTCAGAACGCTCATGCCGTAGAGTGGAGGGGTCCGACTCCCAACCCAGACCTTTGGCGGCGAAGAAGGTTTTTTCTTTATATGTTAGAAAGCTGGTTTAGCTGGTGGAATTCTTCTCAGATTGGCATTGGCTGAGCGAGATTGGATTGGACTGAACTGTGCTGAAATGATCAGTTAGGCCTGCAATGCCAGAAATCAGGGCCAGAGAGTCCTCGGGAAAGGCTACGAGGGTAACTGATCTTTGAGGCAAACGAAGACGAGACGAGACGAGACGAGACGAGACGATGCTGCATGACGTGACACAAAATAAGAAGAGGCCAGACTAGACAAAACAAGAAAATTGGAGATATTGTACACCATTGGTGGCTGATTAATATAATGCTGTGAAAACTGTTTTGCACCTAGCCCACCTTCCCTTCATGGCTTCACCTCTCCATCCACCTGCCCTCCTCACCTGAGCACGGGTCAAGCTAGAAAATCAGGCCATGTTTCCAGAAATTTTCAAAACTGTTTGATGTGTCCAGCTCCAACCCCATCCTGTTTTTCATAGTCTTTGAGGCAGTTCATGTCAAAGGCATCATTATGTCACTAATTTTTGGGCTTGCTGACCGGCATCATGCATTCCAAGTTAGGAGTTCTTACTCTGGTATTTGGGCGCAAAATGACCCCAATGCCAATGCGCCCTTAAAAACCAAATCGCCACCTTACTCTGGTATTAATCAGCCTTTGAATAACAGGAATGAGTCTTTACATCTGAAAGTGTTCACTCATAAAGAAAAAGCAGGACCTCATGGCCATATTGTCCACATTAACCATTGCAGCATGCATGATCTTAACAAACTTCTTTTATCACTAGACCCAGACAAATCTTTTCATTGGTTCGATCTTCACTAGACCCAGACAAATCCTTTCATTGGTTCAGTCTTTTTACCAGCTTATATTAATAATGGAATCGCTGTCTAAGCTAAATAACCATACAACTTAAGTACCTTACACAATAATTGTCAAGGTCTTTTGCAAGTTGTATTAAGAGAAAAGAATATGCAACAGCATTTCATTTGCTAAACACAGAACAAATTGGTAACTTTTGAGGTCAATGATCAGATCTTGAGTCTTGCTACAAGACTTCTGATTTATGGGGAGCTGAGATAGCATAATGCCTAGAAAGACACATGAAGCATACCTATGTTTGCTATTTGGTCAACATAAGTGGATGGCAGCCTGCAGCCACAGTGACTCAAGCCTCTCAAGACCCTAGGGGAAGAACTCTAAGAGGCTCTGTAGACCAGACATGTAAGGTGAACAATGATCCTTGTTAGCAAACAGGTCCACTGAAGTTTTACTCGAAGGTTGGGGGCATGTAGAATGGAACACATGTTTACTCTCACAGCTCATTTAGACTAAGCCAGTGGGTTGGTCTATACATCACAGTTCTTGCACACCAGCACATAGAAATTCACATGTAAACTTCAAACAGATGACAACCATCATACTTATTTTATGCTTATTTGCACTCAACACAGTGGTAAATTTCTTTATACCTTGCTGTACACCTCACTTTTATATCTCTATCATGTAGGGGGCAAAGCTACGGGATATCCCCCAAGCACATGTCACTTGTTTTTAGGGCTTACAAAAATATGTTCAAACATAATGCTCTTAAAAACTGAAACACATGTTAATTCAAGAGCACTGCCCAGAATCCATGTTATTTGGATCATAAGTCCACTTAATTACAGCAACATACAGGGAATATTTTTGGATTTTCAATCCTCATCTTTATTCCTAAAAGCCTGTAAGGCAAGTGATGTCTATATGGTGAATGTCATGCCAGGGCCAGGCTAGCAGGGTATACAATACACTGCCTCTTTTCAAGCTGAAAAGGTATTTGCTGCAAAACTTTGTCACTCAATTTGCATTTTGTGATTGGATGGGATAACAGCTCATGTAACAAGCACTCTTAGTGTCTAGCCTGCAAAATCCAGCCACTGTGTAAGATGTCAATATGATGCGAGTGTGCTGAATCTGAGGCACATGTGTCATAGTACAGCTGGGCCAAGCTGTACTAAATTTTCAACTGTTTCCTTTTTGAAAACCAGTCTTGGTGTGCTACACTTGCTTCAAATTCCTTAGCAACATCAATTCCTTGAACATTGGTCGATGGGTGTTAATTGTAGATAGTCTCAAAACTGCAAGGCTTGTGGTGTGCATGCATTAAAATGTGTTGCCATGATGCCACTGCTGTCTCAGACTCCTATGGTATTATGGACATTTTTGTAGTCAGGTGAATTATATACTGATCTCACACATACACCAACTGCCAAGGTTCAACTGGGACTTCTGAAAACTATGATTTCACACATACTCACTGCAAATTTCTTCATAAGATGATTCCATCAATGCTGTTTATCCATTAAAAGCAATGATCACATGGTTACCACACCGAGAGAAGTACAGCAGGGATTTCATAACCCCATCTAGAATTGCGCTTTTGCAGGAAAAAAAGAAGCCCACCATACCTGATTTCGTGATGCAAAGATATAAAATAAAGCCAGTCAAGATTCCGGAACTGATTGAGTTTAGTGCAACACCGCCGTCCTCCGCCGACCCAAATGAAATAGACCAAAACAGACTACCGGCAGTGCCGACGGTATGCTGCTCACGGCATGATGCTGGTGGAATTCGAAATTTGTCTTATGCGCGTTGATTTACGCCACAATTTGGTAGCTCAATTTGGTAGCAATCAGCAATATCATGAAAAGAAGTAACCGATAATACAAATTTATTTTGGCCGCGTTCGGCCACGCTCGATCGGTCGTCAGCACGTTTGTCAGCACCAGTTACGTCCCAGTATTCTCCTACGTCACGTCACGTGATCTAAAAGTCACACGGCCTGTTAGGTGACGCGCCCGCCGACGATGATGCCAGGATTTTTTGTTGGCTTGGCCCCGTTCGATCTGTCGTCAGCACGATTGTCAGATGGAATGCGTGACGTCACGCGTGCTGACAGCACGTTCGATGTGTGAGCTGACAGCAAAGGTTTTTAATTTTACTCTCCCTTCTTATTTTACCCTTTACTTCAGTCCACACACTAGCTCCACCTTACCGCCGACTATGAAGCACTACTTGCAAAGCGGTGTTTGGAAGAGCGACCTGTGTTCAGGTATTACCATCATCTATCCCCCCATCCGTATGTTGAGTGCCTCTTGCCGTTTCCAATCCATCTCCATTTCGCTTCTCTCACTTTCAATGTTTGCTTATAACGTAATTAAATTGCTGGACAACGCAACCGCACACCACACCAATCACTGTCATCTTTTCATGGTTACTCTTGACATTTCAATTCTCTCCTTATCTATCTTACGTCGCGTGTCACCAAAAATTGGAGGCAAGTGCCTCTATCCCACTTAACTGCACTCGCCAACGTAAGAGCTACAAAATCAAACTCCCGCCTCAGCCAGAAGGATTTTTTAATTCGGTAGCGCTTTCTCCCCACGCTGGAAGGCTGACAAAAATCCTGGCATCATCGTCAGCCGCTGCGTGACGTAACACGCCACGTGACTTTGTCGTCACATGACGTGGCGTATGGCGAATATTGGGCCATGATTGGTGCTGACAGATGTGTTGACCACAGATCGAGATCGAGATCCCTGTCAACATAGAGAAAAACGCCACCAGATTAAAAATTCACTTTGATAGAGGCGGAGGTTTGATTTGGTAGTTCTTGCATCGGCGTGTACGTTAGGCGGGATGAGGGCACTTGTCCCTAATTTGGGGGGAAATACGACGTAAGAAAGATAAGGAGGCAATTGAAATGCCGAGAGTAACCATGAAAAGGTGTCTGCGATTGGTGTGGTGTGTGGTTGCGTTGCCCAGACCGCATTGAAATGAATTGGACACGGCAAGAAGCACTCAAGATACGGATGGGATAGATGATGGTAATACGGGAACAGAAGCGACACTCACAAGCACCACTTCGTGAGAAGTGTGTCATGGTCGGCGTCAAGCCAGATAGTGTGTGAACTGAAGTGACAGAAAAAAGAAGAGGGGAATGTAAAGGTAAAAAACTTTCGTGCCAGCCCGCACATCGAACACTCCGTCAGCACGCGTGACGTCACGCATTCCAGCTGACTTTCGTGCTGACCACGGATCGAACGGAACCTAAGTCAGCACGCATGATGGCATGCATTCCAGCCGACAATCGTGCCGACGACAGATCGAACAGGGTCAAATACATACACACGTATTCCTGTAAACAAAACACACAAAAAACGCCACTTCCGACCAGAAAAAAATGTTACAAGGCAACTAAACGGAATATTTTTTTTTCATTTTTCGTAGCTGGGTTGGTAAACGCACGAAATCCCAAACGTTAACAGCTTACACCGCTGCGCGTGCGCGACGGGGTTGCCGCGCAGACAAGTCACAAGGGCAACTGAAGTCAGCTCGAAGCTCCACAGGCAGCAACAGGGGTGTAGTTTCCTTTTGATTTGGAGGGGCTTTAGCCCCCCCCCCCCCCCCTCTCCCCTCCCTCGCCAACTTGGGCTTCAGCCCTTAACTCTGGGAACGAAGTGGGCCAATTGTGAGGAAAATATGCTTGTTGACATGTTTTGGAGATAGATTAAGTCACGTTTCCCCGTTCAGCCCCAACTTTTTTTGTAAAACCACGCTCCCGGGCAATGATGCGGGGCGCGGTGCAATGAGCAGCCGCGTGTGTCGTCCACCCAGTATCCAGGGAGGGACAAACCCGGGGCCCGTGATACGCTTTTGGTTGGGGCCCCTAAGTCAAAGAGGGGCTCCAGTGATTGTCAGCGGCCCACAGTGCGGACAACCGGCGGACAAAAAAGACGCATCTGAAAGAAGCGCTTCTCAGCGCTTTATAGCATTGATTCGTACGTTTAAAATGTAACCTGGGCGTATTTTTCAGCAGTGTCATTTTTAAATTGATAATATGATCAGATCAGCACTTACAACACAGCGAGCTGGTGCTGTAACCTCGTGGTGGAACTGGAAGAGTGAAGGTAGAAGATCTATCTTCGTGGCGCTTTGAGTGGTGATCCGCTCAGAGAGCGTCCGTAGCATCAAATTTGAAATATACGTTCCAGTCTAGTCTTGGAAGAGTATGAATTAATTCCTAAAGACTTTCGGAGGAGTGATTGCATGACGGCTGTTTTAGCACGTACTGCGCCTGCTGCCTGGTGTCATCTGCAGCGGTAAGCTTCGTTTGGTTTTACGGAACCTGCAACCCCGACCATCGCTGCCCTTCCTCATGAGATGCAAACATGCAGGCTCAAAACTATTTATGTAATCTGTCCCACAAATAGATCCTGTAAGATACTGAACGTTTTCAGCCAAACACGATTTTATTTTCGTTTTTACATAATTTCCATCCAGTCGAATGGATGATTATGAAACGTCTTACTTTTATCTTGGCAAAGGACCCCGTGGCAAGTACATAAGAGGACACACTATTGTACCTGGTCAAGGGCTGAAGGACCATTCCGCTCAAGCGTGGGCTGCCTACCGACTGCTATTCTGCCATTGGACAGCTATATTGCTATTAAACATGCAAAATAAGACCTATACTGAAAAAGGCCTGTAGTGGAGCTGCAGGCTTCTACCTTGCGTATAAGACGGAGAATGTTGTGAGAAGTTCTATCTTCGGATGGCGAAGCTGATAAAGAATACGCGAAACAAAGTGTAAATATTGTCACGTTCTAACAAAACTACCGATTTGATCGGAACGACTCTTGCAACATATGTGTGACGCAAACTCGCGACAACCTTGCGTGGTTCCTGAATGAATGTGAACGAAATTTGATAACCGAGCCATGCGATCTGGAGTTTGCTTGTCTAGAGCATGCTCTGCTGTGCAACGCGGCCAATTTCACGCACCAGGCCCGGTGGTAAACTAGTCCATGAATATGTGTGTAAATATCTAAAATATGTACGTTAGGTTTGTAGATAATGAGCTACTTGAACTCACTTCCTTTTCCAAGATTACTCCGTTTTTTTCCAACGCAATTTGCGTCAGCATTCGGCCGCCGTTCTCCGCTCGTTTCTAGCACGCACGGAATTTCAGTACAGCCTGCAAACCTCCTCGCCAGGCTAAGGTGAGAAAAACGCCCGGCACGTGTTGGCGAAAATAGCAGCATAATAGCTGAAACGGCTCCCATTTGTTTATCGTTGAAGACCAACATGCTTTCCGTTTTAGCGCCTCGGATCCACTTGTGCAGATTTCGCAGGTGCGATCACATGTGGGAAGCCTGGCTGGAGCGTATTTAAGAGCGACCCCGGCCGGCAGAGTACCGAAGCAGGCACAGTACACGTATCTTCAAGTGACATCTCGAGCTCAGCAATGAAGGCCGCCATCTTCGTCACACTCGTAGGCGTGGTAAGAAGCCTGATGTTGGGTACATGCAATGAAAGTTTACGTTGGCGTATATGCGAGGTAGTATATAATGAATGACCGGCGTACATGTTCCTTTGCCATTTACACTGTTATTTGTCTATCATTTCCGTAGTTAGTTTTCCGATCGTGGTTGGATGTTCCTGGCAAATTTCGTGACATGATTTGTGCTCATATCTTTGAAATGTGTATAAACGTGTCAAACACAAAAGGTTGGGTTTGGGTTCGCTGTGGGGGCGTCTGTAACATTTTCTCTGCGGTCCGGAGTTCGGTCCGTCCATGCTATATGGCCAAAGACTGTGCAAACGGTCATGATTACGGCGAAGAAGGAGGGCATTGACACTAGTGTTTGAACTGCACGCTAAGACCTCATATGAAATGAGTGTGTCCCAAAGATGGTGCTCTCGCTGCGTTTTGGCCCGGGATTTGAATGAAGGCCAGAGCCGGATAGCTTTAATTTCGGAGCATTATGATGTTCACTTGAGACGAACGGCTGGGCTTCATGCCTGTAACAGGTCATAATATCCACAGGTCATTTTATCCATAGTGCACAATGTTCACACTTCATAATGTCCACAGCTCAGAATGGCAGCAGTTCATAATGTCCACGGTACCTTATTTCCACATGTCATAATAGCCACAGATCACACGGCCAGGCTTCGGGAAGCTGCGGAGGATTCACTTTACATCAGTGGTGTTGGACTGCATGTCGAATCAAAGGAAATGACCTTACGGCATTATGAGATGTTTCTCTCCCACGAGGGCGAAGCTTCCCACCGTGACGGACGCAGGCTGAACCATTTTGTGGACATTATGAACGACAGACATTACAAACCGTGGACATCATGGCCCGTAGACGTCATGAGCTGTGGATATAGCTAACTTTAGAGATTATAAGCTGAGCACATCTTGAACTTTGGACGCTGTGAACTGTGGGCATTGTGAACTGGGGACGCCATTGACTGTGAACATCATGAACTGTGCACATCATGAGCGTTTGACATTGTGAACTGTGGACATTGTGAACATCGGACGCTATGAACTGCGGACATCATATGGTTCCCGATGAAACAAACATCTGACAATCGGGCGTGTGTCATCGTTTGACCAATAAATGGGAGCACGTTGTACGTACATGAGTCCCCGCATGCACCGAAACACACCAGACACAGGGCAGAGCTTTCGGACGTGTTTGGACATTGACGTCGAAAATGACGAATAAGCGGATACTTCGCTAACTAGCACCGATGAACTTTCAAGCGGGTACAATCAGTGTCCAGGCGGAGCTTTTCCACCGGGGTTAGGTGAGCGTGTATTCCTTCTGTCCCATGCGTGGCGGGATCCCGCATGCGGCGTACGATCAGTGTATTTTTGCAATTCTCTATAGCCAGTCGAAGACAAGTCAATTTTCGTGTCTGATTCGCGTTTTTCTTGGCCAGTGTATGCATGTATGCAGATGCGTGTGTGCACGTGCGTGCTTTGGTGCGCGTGTGTCTGCATACAGGTGTATGGAGGCGTGGAAGTGGGCGTTGGAGGCGGGAGCTAGAAGAACGCGCTCGCACACACAAATATATCCACACCAAATTTGATCTGAATGGTTGTTGATTTCTTCACAGATGGCCGTTTACCTTCAATCCACCGAAGCGACAGTTGCGAATCCAGATCGGGGTCTCCTAGATGCAATGTTCATCTCACGCCACGAAAAGCATCCACAGGAGCGCGATCCGGGAAGGAGTTCTTCGTCTTCGTCTTCTTCGGATGAAAGTAAATATTTTTGTGGGGCGTTAAAGTTGCCGATGAAGAAAGCATTATTTTGTTCATAGGCGAAGGAACGTTTCGAAAACTGCGGGGCCAAGCTCAGGGTGTACATCAGGAACTTTTTCTGGAAAGCGAGCCCGATGACCGGGGAGGGGGGGGGGGGGTAGGGGGTAGGGATGAAGGTTGTTTTCGCTCTTATTCAAGTGTCATGGCTGCTCTGCTGCATCTGCATTTAGAACTGTTTCTCAATAGCGCACAATCTTGCCTACCCGGCTTATTTAGCAGCTCATTCAAAATCATGTCATTTAGCAAATAAGGCTATCCATCTTCCCTAGATGATTCGTCCATTTTAACATTGCCTTTCCTGGGGAGGCGAAATTCCGCCAGCGTAGGCATTTTGGGTCATTGAGGAGGCATCTGACTCCACAGTGTCGATGCCAGTATACGGCCTGGGTACAGGCTGGCGAGAATTTTAACAGTGGATTAATAGCTCACAGTGCAACAGACTTTTCATGCGCCTTCATTTCGCTCGCTGCGTTTCAAGAGATAAGACTTGTCGCAGCATTTAAAGCGGAAAAAATTCGGGGGCTTAAAGCTGCTAGAAACAATGTGACAAAGCCACAAAACTGGAGAGTCTCTTTTAAGAATCTGTCATATGTTTCTTATCTGGGCACTGTTCCTGTCCGACGTCGGTGGGCACTGGCCTGGCCCGGATGTCGCCCACATGACTGACTGCGAACTGATCGTATGGCTGCATTGCTGCGTACTTTTGTATCAACGTTACTACTACATGATGCATGAAACATGTGTTGGACACCTGCAACAGTATCTTTTTCCGAATTGTCTTCCCTCACGCCACACCGTGGCAGAAAAATAGCCTCCGGGAAGCTGTCTGCTCTAGGCGTAAAATGGCCCAACGGAAATTTAAGTGCCTATCATGCAACGTATACGACTTGATCTGCTTTTATGTGTAGGCAGAGGCATAGCCAGAGCCTTGCCAAGGGGTAACACAAGATTGACAAAAGCCCATCTTATGGTTATCCCCCACCAAAATCCTCGGATATAGCTTGCTTGTTAACAAGTTACACAGTTTTCTTCGTTTTGATGTTTTTTTTTACCTTGCAACCAGAACAGAAACCAGGGGCTACCGTAATCTCAATTCTGTTCGTATTTTGAGGCAAATAAGTTGCAGAAATCAGGCGTGAACGACTGCATGGAAGAAACCATCGGGGCTCGTAATTTACGATGCGTAGTTGTCTCTTTCTAAACCGAATCAATTCAAAAGATTTGTCAATTTTTATCTGGGTTCTACAGACATTGGCAACATCGCGAAGGTAGGTTGTAGATCGATATGCTTGATCCAAATTTGAAGATGAAAATTTGATTGCAGATCAAGTGGTCAACAATGTGTATTAGCATGGTCAAGCCACGCTTGTCTGAAAATGGTCAACATTCAGTTGGAATCGATTAGTGATACAATTTATGTTACGTGTTTCTTAACATGCGCGCTCGCAAATCTTGCAACAAAAGCCTCGACACCAGGCGTTGCAGTCTCCATAGTCCGCGGAGCGTTAGCCCAGAACCTAATATTTTAGCCGTGGCCCACCGGTGGACGAAAATTATGTTGCTTCCGAAATGATTACCTTTGAACACTTCAATCAACTAGTAATACAATGTGACATATTTTTGAGCATGCGCACTCCAAAATCTTAGAAACACAAGCCTCGACCCCAGGCGTTGCAGTCTACGTAGAAGGCGCAGCGTCGGCCTAGCACCTAATATTAAGTTGTGGCCAACGGTTGGGCGAAAATAACAACGCTTCTGAAAAATGTATCCTTGAACGCCTCATGACATCAGATTTTACACTTAGAAGGCAGTCTGAGCGCATATCTAACGTGTGCGCTTTTCAGACTGATGAAAAAAATGCATTAGCCCTTAACGCGCGCCCGGATGGCCGGCATGTCCGTGAAGCTGGCGACTTATTTGGCGATTTTTTCAATGACGAGATCCGATTTCTCTGAAAAAGGGTCTCAATGTCAATTGTGGCATGAGAACACCAAAAATGACCCTTATTTTCCAATATCATGTGACCTTCAAGGCCAAAAGCTGGGTCAAGCGACGGGAAACTCGACATGAGCCAAAAACTTCTGGCCGATTTGAGAACTGCGAGCATCAAAATATTCACAAGCGCAAAATAATTTAAAAGGTAGGTTTAGTTCAAAGTTTTAAGTTTTGGTTTCAAAGGTAAATGAATTATTTAGTCCGTCAAAAAGTCGTGAAACCTTAAGGTAACCCTTCAAGGTCCAACGCGGGCTTAAAGGACGGGGAACTCCATATCACCCAAAAATTACCGGCCGATTTCAAACCTTCAAACATCAGACTATTCGCCACAGACAGAACTAGCGTCCGTCCAAAAGTCAAGACCTCTCAAGGTCACTCTTCAATGTTACACACGGGCTCAAAGGACCGGGAACTCCATATCACCCTGAAAGTACCGGCCGATTTTTGACCTCCGAACATCAAAATATTTACCACAGAAAAACTAGCGTCCATCAAAATGTTCTGACCTCTCACGGTCACCCTTCAGGTTAAACGCGGGTGGAAAGGACGGGGAACTAAATATCACCCAAAAATTATCGACCGATTTTTAACTTACAGACAGCAGAATCTTCACCACACAAAGAACAAGCGTTTGTCAGAGCGTCCTGAACTCTCAAGGTCACCCTTCAAGGTCAAACGCGGGTTTAAAGGACCGGGAACTCCACATCGCCCAAAAATTACCGGCCGATTGTTAAGTTACAAACACCAAAATATTCGCCACAGAAAGAGTGGTGAATATTTTGCGTTCGTCAAAAATTCCTGACCTCTCACGATCACCCTTCAAGTTTAAACGATGGATCAAAAGACGGTGAACTCCATAATACCCAGAAATTACTAACCGATTTTTAACCTACAGACATCAAAACATTTAACTAACTTACTTATCAAAACAACACCATTACATTGATCCTTCAAGGTGAAACGCGGACTTAAAAGACGGGGAACTCCATATCGCCCAAAAATTACCGGCCGATTGCTACGTTACAAACATCAGAATATTCACCACAGAAGGAGCTAGCGTTCGTCAAAAATCCTGACCTCTCACGGTCACCCTTCAAGGTTAAACGCCGGCGCACAAGACGGGGTTCTCCTTATTACCCAAAAATTGCCGACCGATTTTTAATTTACAAACATCAAAACACTGAACTAACTTACTTAACAAAACAACATCATTACACTGACCCTTCAAGGTCAAATGCGGGCTTAAAGGACGGGAAACTTCATATCACCCAAAAATTACCGGCCGATTTTTAACTTACAAACAACAGCATATTCAGCACAGAGAGAACTAGCGTCCGCCAAAAAGTCCTGACCTCTCAAGGTCAACGTTCAAGGTCAAACGCGGGCTTAAAGGACGGCGAACTCCATATCACCCAAAAATTACCGGCCGATTGTTACGTTACCAACATCGGAATCTTCACCACAAAAAGAGCTAGCGTCCGTCAAAAAATCCTGACCTCTCACCGTCACCGTTCAAGGTCAAACACCGGCTCAAAAGACGGGGAACTCTATATCACCCAAAACTTACCGACTGATTTAAACTTACAAACATCAAGATATTCACCACAGAAAGCACTAGCGTCCGTCAAAAAGTCAGACCTCCCAAGGTCACCCTTCAAGGTCCGCGACAATTGCAGTTGTCGCGGACTAGAGATACACTCTAGGGTTACCACCAAAAAGAAAGAGTTGTAGTGCAGCGACAAAATTTTAACAGTGTACTCCAGGAAAGAATATAATAAAAAATGTCCTCGTGATATCTTCACGGTGGTTTAGTGACACTAGCCTGTGCAACCGTAACACCTAACTGGTTCTGAGATTTCACCAGAGCACGTTTTTTCATCACGCCCCAAAGGTGGGACACTCCTTTTAATTGGCCGAGGCATTATGTATACGTCAAAACATCAGACGAGAACGATGGTTCGGACCCTTGTTCCATTTGTAATCGTAATGCCTTGCCTCAGTCCTTCCGCAAAGTTTCAGTACGATTGTGTGATGACAAGATTACGCCGAGATATGGCGGCTTCTGACCTTGTTGTAATTCTCGAAATTTTCTCGGGATTCCAATCAAACGTTGAAAGGATCGAAAGCGAGTACTAGAAAGTTGAGACCTGTTAGAGCAGCTGATGGCTTCGCCGATATCCAGTGCGATTCCCCGACGCCGACCTTGTGTCTTCTGTTGGATGAGATGTGATTAGCGAGGTCGTCAGCTGTGCGCAGGTGGACAGATCTCTTGGTGGACCACTGGAGGAGTGTGATCTGAATGGGGTGAACGTTCGTCGCTGTTGTAGGGTGGCAAGGCTTACCTAGAAACTTGCGCCACCGGCTCGGTGTACAACCCCAACATCCAGAACCGTGACCTGCCCAGCAGCCACGACTGTGGTAAGAGGGCCGTCAAGGTTCGAACCGGGAGGTCAGGTGGGTCAGGCCGGTGGGCGGCCGATGGGCCAGTGACCCGGGCGTGGTGGGCACTCACTGCGGCTGCCCTTCTGTTCCAGGTGGTCCCGAGCCGACGGCCGATGCGTCGGGCTGTCCCAGCGGAGTCGGGTTCCTCCCCGACCCGAACGATTGCAATGGGTACATTTACTGTCTCAATGGAATCTCGAAAAATCAGTTCTGTAACGAAGGTCTCCACTACAACGCCAAGGCAAAGGCGTGCCAGGCGCCCGAAGATGCTGGCTGCCAGTACCCAGCCTAGTGCATCTCCTCTACCGCACCACGTGCTATTGCTAATGCATCTCCTTAGCTGCACCCAGTTGGCATATATAACAAGTGCACACATTTGGCAATAAATTTGCACGTCATAACTTCTGTGATCATGTAATCCCAAGGGAGATTCATTGCACAGTAACACCCTTTGATCCCGAAGGGGCGCGTGTGCTCCGAATGTGTGCATGACCTGCAGAACGGACGCAGCTTTTTTTAGCACAAAACGCTACAAAATTGGACATCTTTGGGCTTACAGGCGTTCAAGAACAGTCGCGAGCGAAAGTAAAGGGCCCATGAGCAGATAAAAATGATTCCTTAAGAAGTACGAAAGTGCTGATTCGTTTTTTGTTCGCCTTCTTGTTTTGCCCAGAGACCCGCGCGCTGCTGGCAGGGCAGTAGCGCAGGTAGAAAGAGGAACACATCTCCGTCCGCTTAGTCCCCAGGGTCCGAACGGCCCCTCGGGACGAGCAAGTCAGGGCGTTTTGATGCCCCGAAGGGCTGGCTGGACATCGCATTAAAGGGCTTGGCTCGCAGTGCCGGACCCTCAAATGCCAGTCAGAGAGCACTTTGCACCTATGAGGGACCCCCTGAGTCAATAAGGATCGGTACTGAACAGTCGGCTCCGTGTCGTTTGGACCTGGGGACCTATTTACCGAACAGAAAGATGACTGGGCAGGTAGTTTACATTGATTAGGGCCACTGAGTCAATAATAGCCTCAGGCTGGCCAAGACACACCACCACCAGCATGAAGAAGAGACCACCAACACGAAGCAGTCGACTCCGTGTCGATTTGAGCCCTTATGACCCAGCATGCAAGCAGGGATGAGCCTGGGGCCAATGATTTAGATTGGTCAGAGCCCCTGAGGCGATGAGGAGCCCCTGGGTTGCTCAGAGGCCTCCAAAGTAATATGAAGCTGCATGTCCGCAATAGGTCCCAATTCGGCCAAGGGAATAATGTACTGACCAAGGACAGGGACGGAATCCCAAATATCAGATAACCTCTTGGCGTCATTTGGGGACCTGTAACAGTGAATGGAGATATAGAAACTTAGTGAGAGTCCACGAGACAATGAAAGGGGCCTGTGGCAGACAGGGCCCTCAGTACCCCACTGCCCCCCCCCCCCCCCCCCCCCATTTAAGCCAATGGCCCGTTAGGAGCCCTGGAGCCTCTCTGCCAGTTTTGACGGTGGCGCGCCAATTATGGTATTACGGTGGCAGACTGTCTAGCACGCCAAACAAATGGGAGAATGTAGTATATTAACGCCGATGGTAGTTCTAACGAAGTGTCAGCCGTCATTTCTGGCACTAACTGCTTTCAATGATATGCTGCTACTCATTAACATCACTATAATCCTCATTTAACTAGTGTTGACAAGGGAGATGGCAGCCTTTTAATTTCACCGAACGAATGTAATGTAAAAATGTAATCAACGAATGATTGGTGTCTCACGTATGTCAGCACGATATCTGGTATTAATAGACTTCAGCCGGCCCTCAACCTATAGTATACGTTCAGTGCATGTTCAGTGCTACATAATGCAAGAACTTTGGCAGTGGTACAAGTTACGACGCAGATAAGACGGTATATCGAATCTTAAGAATAGCGCCACAACTGCATATGTGGACGTAAGTTGACAATACAACATCACGTACAGTTATGCAAGAAGACCTCGAGAAAGGACAAAAACATAAGCACATAACGATATTCTGTTTCACAAATATGTTCTAGCAAATGCCGCCATCTGTCGGCAAGTTGAAGTACTTCAAATGAGTCAGCCTACTTGCTCAAGTGCCAGTACTAACATGGCTATTTGGGCAGCGACTCTGACGTTATAAACACATTCTACGACGTAATTGAACACTGAGGTACTGAGGAATATGCATACTGCCAGTTCGAGGTATGCCGAGTGTCCTGTCTATGGATGTGTGTGTGTGTGTGTGTGTGTGTGTGTGTGTGTGTGTGTGTGTGTGTGTGTGTGTGTGTGTGTGTGTGTGTGTGTGTGTGTGTGTGTGTGTGTATGTGTTTGTGTGTGTAATAAAATGGGTAAAATTGTCGCGTCTTTGAATGCCATACTAACTCAAACTGGCAGCATAGTTTTCGGAGATCGTCGTAACAGTGCAACGAAGGCAAATTGAAGCACCTACCGGAGACGAAACACCCGACTATCGGCCACCGTTCCCGGCCGTGAGCTCCGTGACCGCGAGCTCCATTCAAAACAAAATTCTAACGGGGGTTCATGGCGGGGAACTCAAAAGGTTGTATTTGTTGGACACAACTTCTTCGTTCAAGATTTGAATTTGTCCTACAATAGTTGTCAAATATTTAGTGAAATGTATATCTGAAATTGCTGTGGTATTTCCCTAATTTTATGTCTTGCTAGCCCATAAACCCGTGCAAGGTTCTTTGATCCGGTACGCAAGGCGCCAACCACGCTGTCTGTAAGGAATACGCCAGTGGAAACAACCACCACCAGGAGAAGGAAGGCGGACCTGCCGGCGCGTCTTTCTGTTGCGACTTTCGGGAGAGTGCCGTTTTTTCGCTGTTGTACTTTTTGGCAGACAGTGGTGTTCTCTTTTCATAACATCGACCTATGATTTAGAAACAAAGAAAAATGCTCCGTTGGCGACGAATGCCGCACAGCCCGAAAGTGCACACGCTGAAGTTCGCGACACGCATTCAGCAACGAAATCTTACTAGCAGCCAATCACCTTCCGCAGATTGCATCACACGTGCCACATCATCGCTCTTGCTAACGTGTCAGCGGTCATGCTCGTTTGATCATAAGCAGAAGGCAGTCTGTAATGTAACGGGAATCTTATGACGTTTCTATGACGACATCAATGCCAAGGTGACTCTGAAGTAGGCTCCCAATAAACCATTTCGCACATTTGCGGGCGTATAAATCAGGAACCAGAGTGTTTTGGGTCTTGAAAAGCGCGTGGTCGTGAGCTACATCAAAAGTCCTCAAGATGGCTAGTTTAGTTCTAAACCCCCATGTAAAGGTGGAAAATTCCCTTCAACTATATTTTTATCATGAGCCTTGTGTGCACTGGCAGGCTTCATAACTTCCTTACATTTCGCCCATCTAACCATGACTGCATGCAGTTGTCATGTCTCAGCCTAGAGCAAGGTCAGCAGGTTTGCAGTTTCGTTGTAATATTTTCTTCTGATACAGGCGTTATTACTTGTGAGAAAATATTTTTGAGTGAAGCAGCCTGATGGCTGCAGCATGTTGCATGGCTATGGAAGCAGAAGAAGTGTTTGCATCTTTGTCACATATCTTTTGTGGGTTTCCAAAACAGGGTGAGCAAGTGGTGCCACTTACCGATTGTGTGGTTTGCTGAAAGTGATTTGTATATTGTAGCATGTGTTTTTGGTCAGTCACATGTCAAATGCAGGGTAAATACAAGAATGCATGCTTGACCCACCTTTTCATGATTAAATTTATTGTGAAAGCAGCAGGGGTCGTATTGCAAAAACTGTACTACTGTTCAATATGCCATGCCACAGTATAGCACTGAGATAGTGCCACGATGACACTGTTGACCTGTCCCATTACGCAACGCACCACATTGGTTGACTGCTCTGTATCAAGCCCATCAGATAACGGCCTGTACTTTATGAAAGATTGGTAACGACTGATTTAACAACGCCAAAGGACTATCAACAGCGAGAACCCTGTCGCACCATAATCGTTATATCAGAATCCACTAACAATTGCATAATCCTGAGCAAGAAAAACATTCTTGGATGCCTCACCATCTTTACCATAGAAATATCAATGCTTTGACAATCAATTCATAGCAATGCTAAAGATTGGTTAATTTTTGCATGCAACTGCATTTCCAGTTACTAATCATAAAGATAGTAACTGCTGTGCACATCACATGCCAATGTCAGGACTACAGCCTTGCAGGCAAGAATAAGTCGACAATACAGTCTTGACATCCTCAACAGTCCTTGCCGGGTGTCGGTAATAGATTCATGACGCTATATGACATTCTTCACGGCATATCGTGCTTTTGATATCAATAATCTGCCCTAAAAGCTGGTGATCGCTACGTTGCGTATGTCAAACAGCCCATCAAAGCTTCTGTTATAATCAGTACCAAGGCAACAAATCCACAAACAAGCCATTCAGTAATCAGCCACCCAACCTAGCGCCCGCGACGAGAATCGCTGGTTGGCGTCAGTTTTCGTGCGTCTCAAGACATTTTTTAGGTTTGACTACCAGATGCCGCCAGGTGTTGCTGTCGTCACAAAACCATTCCATGACGCCATCAAACAATGACGTAATTGGGCGCATTTTTACAAAGTGAAATTTGACACTTAGGGTCGTTTTTGAACGTTGAAAGCTTACCAACAACTACAAGTAAGCTTTTCACATGTCATCTGATGCTTACCTCAACATCTTCAGCAGCATTAAAGAGTATCCCCTTTCATATTTCTACTGATATGGTCAAGAGACCAGACTTTGTGACCGAATGAATTTTTGGGATCAAGACCAACCACTGCATGCACTGCATTGATTGTACTGCTTGAGGCCAAACCTCAATGGCTAAACAACTGTGTATTCTGGGCATGATTCCCAACATTGCAGCACCACAAATTTGTCTGGCACCATCTGAACATGAAATGTCATATCAGTGACAGAACTGTTCGGTAAAGAGTTGCATACCTGATGTTAAGCATATGTGCTTGGGATCTAAGTTTTGAGAGTAATTCCTCACATTCGGCTTAGCTCTTATAATTCACAAATGCCAGACATAAACGACTGGACAATATGATTCTTCTTGGCCTTGTATGCCTGATAACCAATGGGACGTCACTTTTTGAATGACGATTGCGTGGCGTCATTCACGCCTGACCATGGAATAGTTTGCACGAAATAATATACACATTTTCGTGGGCCTGCAGCTCAGAGGCGGGTCTTCGGAAGGGCAGGGGGGTGCACTGCACCGTATGATGTTAAAGATTGGTATTTCAGTTCAAAACTTCATATTAATGTGGAACACTTCCTTTAATGGCCAAAATGCGAGGAGGATTTTTTTGGAGGGGGCCCCAGACTCCAGGGAGTGGGCCCTAATGTAGGGTGTCCATCCCCCCTCCTTGCACCTTGATAAAATCCTGGATTCTCCGCTGCCTGCCTGGTGCACTTGGCTTGGCAGGATTGGGGGGAAGCGCACGGTTTTTTGGAAGATAGCTCCTATTTTCACAGGTAGCCAAGACTGGCCGGCCAGATGCTGGTTCACGCCCCTCGCTGACAAATCATCGGCTTACGCTGGTCCATCAGGTCCACAGGCCCGCCGAATGTTGTTGACTTCTTCTGTCAGGCCCTCTTTTTCGGCTATCTGTGTCCGTCACCTCTGACCCCTGGCCACATGATGGCCCGAGGCACAGAGGTCAGCGATGATGGGTGAGGCCGGTTGGCTAATGCAAGTTCTGTCACGCGGCACCGCGCGTGTGGTTGGGCCCGCTCGCGGACGACCGCGACGGCTTGTGACCAAGGCGTAGTGGTGCACAGATGCTGTCGGCCCCTCTAGCGTCCTGCAACGCTGCCGTGCCGGGTGGAACAGAACCGTTTGCATCAGCAGAACAGATGGAGGCGGCCACCAGGGCGCAGCGGCAGTTGGATGACTTCGCTCGGCGCTTGGTGCATCGCATTGGGACTGACCTCGACTAGGATGTGTGGTCGAGAGGCGTCGACTTATTCTTGGACTGCCGGAATTCGCCACCCACCGGAAGCCAAGAGTCTGTCGCACGACATTGTTCTGTGCCGTAGAAGAAGCGCCGACCGCATCAGCGTCCAGCACCGGCTCGCCGACGCTCTACAACTCTGAGGAGCAAAGGGCTCATGGCGCTTGGCCGACCAGCCAAAACGGCTAGAACTGCTGAGCACGGCTACAGCACCGCAGATGGCTGTATGTATTGTGTAGATATGGTGTCCCCAGGAAGCCAAGAGTCTGCTGGCGCGAATTTGCTCTTGCCGGGAACGGTGGCCGATAGTCGGGTGTTTCGTCTCAGGTAGGTGCTTCAATTTGCCTTCGTTGCACTGTTACGACGATCTCCGAAAACTATGCTGCCAGTTTGAGTTAGTACGGCATTCAAAGACGCGACAATTTTACCCGTTTTATTACACACACAAACACACACACACACACGCACACACACACACACACACACACACACACACACACACACACACACACACACACACACACACACACACACACACACACACACACACACACACACACACACACACACACACACACGCACACACACACACACACACACAACACACACACACACACACACACACACCACACACACATACACACACATCCATAGACAGGACACTCAGCATACCTCGAACTGGCAGTATGTATATTCCTCAATACCTCAGTGTTCAAATACATCGTAAAATGTGTTTACAACGTCAGAGTCGCTGCCCAAATAGCCATGTTAGTACTAGCACTTGAGCAAGTAGGCTGACTCATTTGAAGTACTTCAACTTGCCGACAGATGGCGGCATTTGCTAGAACATATTTGTGAAACAGAATATCGTTATGTGCTTATGTTTTTGTCCTTTCTCGAGGTCTTCTTGCATAACTGTACGTGATGTTGTATTGTCAACTTACGTCCACATATGCAGTTGTGGCGCTATTCTTAAGATTCGATATACCGTCTTATCTGCGTCGTAACTTGTACCACTGCCAAAGTTCTTGCATTATGTAGCACTGAACATGCACTGAACGTATACTATAGGTTGAGGGCCGGCTGAAGTCTATTAATACCAGATATCGTGCTGACATACGTGAGACACCAATCATTCGTTGATTACATTTTTACATTACATTCGTTCGGTGAAATTAAAAGGCTGCCATCTCCCTTGTCAACACTAGTTAAATGAGGATTATAGTGATGTTAATGAGTAGCAGCATATCATTGAAAGCAGTTAGTGCCAGAAATGACGGCTGACACTTCGCTAGAACTACCATCGGCGTTAATATACTACATTCTCCCATTTGTTTGGCGTGCTAGACAGTCTGCCACCGTAATACCATATTTGGCGCGCCACCGTCAAAACTGGCAGAGACGCTCCAGGGCTCCTAACGGGCCATTGGCTTAAATGGGGGGGGGGAGGGGGGCAGTGGGGTACTGAGGGCCCTGTCTGCCACAGGCCCCTTTCATTGTCTCGTGGACTCTCACTAAGTTTCTATATCTCCATTCATTGTTACAGGTCCCCAAATGACGCCAAGAGGTTATCTGATATTTGGTATTCCGTCCCTGTCCTTGGTCAGTACATTATTCCCTTGGCCGAATTGGGACCTATTGCGGACGTGCAGCTTCATATTACTTTGGAGGCCTCTGAGCAACCCAGGGGCTCCTCATCGCCCCAGGGGCTCTGACCAATCTAAATCATTGGCCCCAGGCTCATCCCTGCTTGGATACTGGGTCATAAGGGCTCAGATCGACACGGAGTCGACTGCTTCGTGTTGGTGGTCTCTTCTTCATGCTGGTGGTGGTGCGTCTTGGCCAGCCTGAGGCTATTATTGACTCAGTGGCCCTAATCAATGTAAACTACCTGCCCAGTCATCTTTCTGTTCGGTAAATAGGTCCCCAGGTCCAAACGACACGGAGCCGACTGTTCAGTACCGATCCTTATTGACTCAGGGGGTCCCTCATAGGTGCAAAGTGCTCTCTGACTGGCATTTGAGGGTCCGGCACTGCGAGCCAAGCCCTTTAATGCGATGTCCAGCCAGCCCTTCGGGGCATCAAAACGCCCTGACTCGCTCGTCCCGAGGGGCCGTTCGGACCCTGGGGACTAAGCGGACGGAGTTTTATTCCTCTTTCTACCTGCGCTACTGCCCTGCCAGCAGCGCGCGGGTCTCTGAGCAAAACAAGAAGGCGAACAAAAAACGAATCAGCACTCTCGTACTTCTCAAGGAATCATTTTTATCTGCTCATGGGCCCTTTACTTTCGCTCGCGACTGTTCTTGAACGCCTGTAAGCCCAAAGATGTCCAATTTTGTAGCGTTTTGTGCTAAAAAAGCTGCGTCCGTTCTGCAGGTCATGCACACATTCGGAGCACACGCGCCACTTCGGGATCCAAGGGTGTCACTGTGCAATACATCTCTCTTGGGATTACATGATCACAGAAGTTATGACGTGCAAATTTATTGCCAAATGTGTGCACTTGTTATATATGCCAACTGGGTGCAGCTAAGGAGATGCATTAGCAATAGCACGTGGTGCGGTAGAGGAGATGCACTAGGCTGGGTACTGGCAGCCAGCATCTTCGGGCGCCTGGCACGCCTTTGCCTTGGCGTTGTAGTGGAGACCTTCGTTACAGAACTGATTTTTCGGGATTCCATTGAGACAGTAAATGTACCCATTGCAATCCTTCGGGTCGGGGATGAACGCGACTCCGCTGGGACAGCCCGACGCATCGGCCGTCGGCTCGGGACCACCTGGAACAGAAGGGCAGCCGCAGTGAGTGCCCACCACGCCCGGGTCACTGGCCCATCGGCCGCCCACCGGCCTTACCCACCTGACCTCCCGGTTCGAACCTTGACGGCCCTCTTACCACAGTCGTGGCTGCTGGGCAGGTCACGGTTCTGGATGTTGGGGTTGTACACCAAGCCGGTGGCGCAAGTTTCTAGGTAAGCCTTGCCACCCTACAACAGCGGCGAACGTTCACCCGATTCAGATCACACTCCTCCAGTGGTCCACCAAGAGATCTGTCCACCTGTGCACAGCTGACGACCTCGCTAATCACATCTCATCCAACAGAAGACACAAGGTCGGCGTCGGGGAATCGCACTGGATATCGGCGAAGCCATCAGCTGCTCTAACAGGTCTCAACTTTCTAGTACTCGCTTTCGATCCTTTCAACGTTTGATTGGAATCCCGAGAAAATTTCGAGAATTACAACAAGGTCAGAAGCCGCCATATCTCGGCGTAATCTTGTCATCACACAATCGTACTGAAACTTTGCGGAAGGACTGAGGCAAGGCATTACGATTACAAATGGAACAAGGGTCCGAACCATCGTTCTCGTCTGATGTTTTGACGTATACATAATGCCTCGGCCAATTAAAAGGAGTGTCCCACCTTTGGGGCGTAATGAAAAAACGTGCTCTGGTGAAATCTCAGAACCAGTTAGGTGTTACGGTTGCACAGGCTAGTGTCACTAAGCCACCGTGAAGATATCACGAGGACATTTTTTATTATATTCTTTCCTGGAGTACACTGTTAAAATTTTGTCGCTGCACTACAACTCTTTCTTTTTGGTGGTAACCCTAGAGTGTATCTCTAGTCCGCGACAACTGCAATTGTCGCGGACCTTGAAGGGTGACCTTGGGAGGTCTGACTTTTTGACGGACGCTAGTGCTTTCTGTGGTGAATATCTTGATGTTTGTAAGTTTAAATCAGTCGGTAAGTTTTGGGTGATATAGAGTTCCCCGTCTTTTGAGCCGGTGTTTGACCTTGAACGGTGACGGTGAGAGGTCAGGATTTTTTGACGGACGCTAGCTCTTTTTGTGGTGAAGATTCCGATGGTGGTAACGTAACAATCGGCCGGTAATTTTTGGGTGGTATGGAGTTCGCCGTCCTCTAAGCCCGCGTTTGACCTTGAACGTTGATCTTGAGAGGTCAGGACTTTTTGGCGGACGCTAGTTCTCTCTGTGCTGAATATGCCGTTGTTTGTAAGTTAAAAATCGGCCGGTAATTTTTGGGTGATATGAAGTTCCCCGTCCTTAAAGCCCGCATTTGACCTTAAAGGATCAGTGTAATGATGTTGTTTTGTTAAGTAAGTTAGTTCAATGTTTTGATGTTTGTAAGTTAAAAATCGGTCGGTAATTTTTGGGTAATAAGGAGAACCCCGTCTTGTGCGCCGGCGTTTAACCTTGAAGGGTGACCGTGAGAGGTCAGGATTTTTTGACGAACGCTAGCTCTTTCTGTGGTGAATATTCTGATGTTTGTAACGTAACAATCGGCCGGTAATTTTTGGGCGATATGGAGTTCCCCGTCTTTTAAGTCCGCGTTTCACCTTGAAGGATCAATGTAATGGTGTTGTTTTGATAAGTAAGTTAGTTAAATGTTTTGATGTCTGTAGGTTAAAAATCGGTTAGTAATTTCTGGGTATTATGGAGTTCACCGTCTTTTGATCCATCGTTTAAACTTGAAGGGTGATCGTGAGAGGTCAGGAATTTTTGACGAACGCAAAATATTCACCACTCTTTCTGTGGCGAATGTTTTGGTGTTTGTAACTTAACAATCGGCCGGTAATTTTTGGGCGATATGGAGTTCCCGGTCCTTTAAACCCGCGTTTGACCTTGAAGGGTGACCTTGAGAGGTCAGGACGCTCTGACAAACGCTTGTTCTTTGTGTGGTGAAGATTCTGCTGTCTGTAAGTTAAAAATCGGTCGATAATTTTTGGGTGATATTTAGTTCCCCGTCCTTTCCACCCGCGTTTAACCTGAAGGGTGACCGTGAGAGGTCAGAACATTTTGATGGACGCTAGTTTTTCTGTGGTAAATATTTTGATGTTCGGAGGTCAGAAATCGGCCGGTACTTTCAGGGTGATATGGAGTTCCCGGTCCTTTGAGCCCGTGTGTAACATTGAAGAGTGACCTTGAGAGGTCTTGACTTTTGGACGGACGCTAGTTCTGTCTGTGGCGAATAGTCTGATGTTTGAAGGTTTGAAATCGGCCGGTAATTTTTGGGTGATATGGAGTTCCCCGTCCTTTAAGCCCGCGTTGGACCTTGAAGGGTTACCTTAAGGTTTCACGACTTTTTGACGGACTAAATAATTCATTTACCTTTGAAACCAAAACTTAAAACTTTGAACTAAACCTACCTTTTACTTTATTTTGCGCTTGTGAATATTTTGATGCTCGCAGTTCTCAAATCGGCCAGAAGTTTTTGGCTCATATCGAGTTTCCCGTCGCTTGACCCAGCTTTTGGCCTTGAAGGTCACATGATATTGGAAAATAAGGGTCATTTTTGGTGTTCTCATGCCACAATTGACATTGAGACCCTTTTTCAGAGAAATCGGATCTCGTCATTGAAAAAATCGCCAAATAAGTCGCCAGCTTCACGGACATGCCGGCCATCCGGGCGCGCGTTAAGGGCTAATGCATTTTTTCATCAGTCTAAAAAGCGCACACGTTAAATATGCGCTCAGACTGCCTTCTAAATGTAAAATCTGATGTCATGAGGCGTTCAAGGATACATTTTTCAGAAGCGTTGTCATTTTCGCCCAACCGTTGGCCACAACTTAATATTAGGTGCTAGGCCGACGCTGCGCCTTCTACGTAGACTGCAACGCCTGGGGTCGAGGCTTGTGTTTCTAAGATTTTGGAGTGCGCATGCTCAAAAATATGTCACATTGTATTACTAGTTGATTGAAGTGTTCAAAGGTAATCATTTCGGAAGCAACATAATTTTCGTCCACCGATGGGCCACGGCTAAAATATTAGGTTCTAGGCTAACGCTCCGCGGACTATGGAGACTGCAACGCCTGGTGTCGAGGCTTTTGTTGCAAGATTTGCGAGCGCGCATGTTAAGAAACACGTAACATAAATTGTATCACTAATCGATTCCAACTGAATGTTGACCATTTTCAGACAAGCGTGGCTTGACCATGCTAATACACATTGTTGACCACTTGATCTGCAATCAAATTTTCATCTTCAAATTTGGATCAAGCATATCGATCTACAACCTACCTTCGCGATGTTGCCAATGTCTGTAGAACCCAGATAAAAAATTGACAAATCTTTTGAATTGATTCGGTTTAGAAAGAGACAACTACGCATCGTAAATTACGAGCCCCGATGGTTTCTTCCATGCAGTCGTTCACGCCTGATCTCTGCAACTTATTTGTCTCAAAATACGAACAGAATTGAGATTACGGTAGCCCCTGGTTTCTGTTCTGGCTGCAAAGTAAAAAAAAAACATTAAAACGAAGAAAACTGTGTAACTTGTTAACAAGCAAGCTATATCCGAGGATTTTGGTGGGGGATAACCATAAGATGGGCTTTTGTCAATCTTGTGTTACCCCTTGGCAAGGCTCTGGCTACGCCTCTGCCTATACACAAAAGCAGATCAAGTCGCATACGTTGCATGATAGGCAACTAAATTTCCGTTGGGGCATTTTATGCCTAAAGCAGACAGCTTCCCGGAGGCTATTTTTCTGTCATGGTGTGGTGTGAGGGAAGACAATTCGGAAAAAGATACTGTTGCAGGTGTCCAACACATGTTTCATGCACCATGTAGTAGCAACGCTGATCCAAAAGTGCGCAGCAATGCAGCCATACGATCAGTTCGCAGTCAGTCATGTGGGCGACATCCGGGCCAGGCCGGTGCCCACTGACGTCCGACAGGAGCAGTGCCCAGATAAGAAACATATGACAGATTCTTAAAAGAGACTCTCCAGTTTTGGGCCTTTTGTCACCTTGTCTCTAGCAGCTTTAAGCCTCCGATTTTCTTCCGCTTTAAATGCTGCGACAAGTCTTATCTCTTGAAACGCAGCGAGCGAAATGAAGGTGCATGAAAAGTCTGTTGCACTGTGAGCTATCAATCCACTTTTAAAATTCTCGCCAGCCTATACCCAGGCCGTATACTGGCATCTACACTGTGGAGGCAGATGCCTCCTCAATGACCCAAAATGCCTACGCTGGCGGAATTTCGCCTCCCCAGGAAAGACAATGTTAAAATGGACGAATCATCTAGGGAAGATGGATAGCCTTATTTGCTAAATGACATGATTTTGAATGAGTTGCTAAATAAGCCGGGTAGGCAAGATTGTGCGCTATTGAGAAACAGTTCTAAATGCAGATGCAGCAGAGCAGCCATGACACTTGAATAAGAGCGAAAACAACCTTCATCCCTACCCCCTACCCCCCCCCCCCTCCCCGGTCATCGGGCTCGCTTTCCAGAAAAAGTTCCTGAAGTACACCCTGAGCTTGGCCCCGCAGTTTTCGAAACGTTCCTTCGCCTATGAACAAAATAATGCTTTCTTAATCGGCAACTTTTACGCCCCACAAAAATATTTACTTTCATCCGAAGAAGACGAAGACGAAGAACTCCTCCCCGGATCGCGCTCCTGTGGATGCTTTTCGTGGCGTGAGATGAACATTCCAGCTAGGAGACCCAGATCTGGATTCGCAACTGTCGCTTCGGTGGATTGAAGGTAAACGGCCATCTGTGAAGAAATCAACAACCATTCAGATCAAATTTGGTGTGGATATATTTGTGTGAGCGAGCGCGTTCTTCTAGCTCCCGCCTCCAGCACCCACTTCCACGCCTCCATACACCTGTACGCAGACACACGCGCACCAAAGCACGCACGTGCACACACGCATCTGCATACATGCATACATTTGCCAAAAAAAACGCGAATCAGACACGAAAATTGACTTGTCTTCGACTGGCTATAGAGCATTGCAAAAATACACTGATCGTACGCCGCATGCGGGATCCCGCCACGCATGGGACAGAAGGAATACACGCTCACCTAACCCCGGTGGAAAAGCTCTGCCTGGACACTGATTGTACCCGCTTGAAAGTTCATCGGTGCTAGTTAGCGAAGTATCCGCTTATTCGTCATTTTCGACGTCAATGTCCAAACACGTCCGAAAGCTCTGCCCTGTGTCTGGTGTGTTTCGGTGCATGCGGGGACTCATGCACGTACAACATGCTCTCATTTATTGGTCAAACGATGACACACGCCCGATTGTCAGATGTCTGTTTCATCGGGAACCATATAATGTCCACAGTTCATAGCGTCCGATGTTCACAATGTCCACAGTTCACAATGTCAAACGCTCATGATGTGCACAGTTCATGATGTTCACAGTCAATGGCGTCCCCAGTTCACAATGCCCACAGTTCACAGCGTCCAAAGTTCAAGATGTGCTCAGCTTATAATCTCTAAAGTTAGCTATATCCACAGCTCATGACGTCTACGGGTCATAATGCCCACGGTTTGTAATGTCTGTCGTTCATAATGTCCACAAAATGGTTCAGCCTGCGTCCGTCACGGTGGGAAGCTTCACCCTCGTGGGAGAGAAACATCTCATAATGCCGTAAGGTCATTTCCTTTGATTCGACATGCAGTCCAACACCACTGATGTAAAGTGAATCCTCCGCAGCTTCCCGAAGCCTGGCCGTGTGATCTGTGGCTATTATGACATGTGGAAATAAGGTACCGTGGACATTATGAACTGCTGCCATTCTGAGCTGTGGACATTATGAAGTGTGAACATTGTGCACTATGGATAAAATGACCTGTAGATATTATGACCTGTTACAGGCATGACGCCCAGCCGTTCGTCTCAAGTGAACATCATAATGCTCCGAAATTAAAGCTATCCGGCTCTGGCCTTCATTCAAATCCCGGGCCAAAACGCAGCGAGAGCACCATCTTTGGGACACACTCATTTCATATGAGGTCTTAGCGTGCAGTTCAAACACTAGTGTCAATGCCCTCCTTCGCGTCGTAAGCATGACCATTTGCACAGTCTTTGGTCATATAGCATGGACGGACCGAACTCCGGACCGCAGAGAAAATGTTATTAACGCCCCCACAGCGAACCCAAACCCAACCTTTTGTGTTTGACACGTTTATACACATTTCAAAGATATGAGCACAAATCATGTCACGAAATTTGCCAGGAACATCCAACCACGATCGGAAAACTAACTACGGAAATGATAGACAAATAACAGTGTAAATGGCAAAGGAACATGTACGCCGGTCATTCATTATATACTACCTCGCATATACGCCAACGTAAACTTAAATTGCATGTACCCAACATCAGGCTTCTTACCACGCCTACGAGTGTGACGAAGATGGCGGCCTTCATTGCTGAGCTCGAGATGTCACTTGAAGATACGTGGACTGTGCCTGCTTCGGTACTCTGCAGGCTGGGGTCGCTCTTAAATACGCTCCAGCCAGGCTTCCCACATGTGATCGCACCTGCGAAATCTGCACAAGTGGATCCGAGGCGCTAAAATGGAAAGCATGTTGGTCTTCAACGATAAACAAATGGGAGCCGTTTCAGCTATTATGCTGCTATTTTCGCCAACACGTGCCGGGCGTTTTTCTCACCTTAGCCTGGCGAGGAGGTTTGCAGGCTATACTGAAATTCCGTACATGCTAGA